GAGAGGGGAGCCTCACAAAGAGCCCTGTAGGCCATGACCAAGATGTTAGACTTTGTTCTTGATAAAATGAGGAGCGGGCTGACTGTCTACAACCAGGAGAGTGACAGGCTCTGACTGATAAAAGCTTGGATGTAGGTCTCCAATGGGGAAAACCTCCTGTCTCCACTGTTTAGACCCAACATTCCTGAGTCAGTGTATAATCCGTCTAGAGCTTAGTGGCCCTTAAGATGTAAACAATCAGGGCCAGGGATGTAGCTCAACTGTAGACGCTTGCTTAGCATACAGAAGCCCTAGGTTTGATCCTCAGCACCACATGAACTGGGTACAGTGATGCAGTCCTTTAATCCAGTGCTTGGGAAGTAAGAGACAGGAAGAGCAGAAGTTCAAGGTCATCATTTGCTACATAGAGAATCTGAAGCCATCCTGGGCTACAAGAGGCCCTACCAAAAGAAAAGGAGCAGGGGGAGAAAGAAGCATGGAGCTGCGGGGGAGGGTGCACGCCTTTAATCCCAGCACTTGGGAGGCAGAGGCAGATGGATCTCTGTGAGTTCAAGGACGGCCTGGTCTACAAAGTAAGTTCCAGAACAGCCAGGGCTACACAGAGAAACCCTGTCTCAAAAAACTAAAAAGAGAGAGAGAGAGAGAGAGAGAGAGAGAGAGAGAGAGAGAGAGAGAGAGAGAGAGAGAGAAAGAAAGAAAGAAAGAAAGAAAGAAAGAAAGAAAGAAAGAAAGAAAGAAAGAAAGAGAGAGAAAGGGGACTGATTCTCAGTTTTGCCTCAGTCCTTCCCCGGGGCAGAGTCCAAAAGCCAATCTTCTACACTAGGACCCGGCTTCCAGACTGGAACCCCGCAGCTATGAGTTCCAGTTTCAGTTCATATCCGACTTACCCAGCCCCATCTCCTTCACTGCCTGTTCCTTTTCCTGACTGGAACTCAAACCCCATGAAGACAGAGCCAACCAAACCTGTTCCATGTGTAGCTTGCCAGTGCCTGGTATGGTGGTCAAGAAATAGCTGACCAGCCAATAGTCACTTCACTTCACACCAGCTCCTTCCCAATGACAGGGTTTTTCAGGGAGAGAGAGTAAGCCTGAGTCCTTGGTTTCTGAATGTGTAGACTGAGGCGGCATCACAGAGGAAACCAGAGTTATATATGGCGGACCTGAGAGAAGACCTGAGAAATCACCTGACCTGGCCCCTACCCTTTGATACCTGAATGTTCACTATTGATGAACTAAGATATGTGTGTGTGTGTGTGTGTGTATGTGTGTGTGTGTGTGTGTGTGTGTGTGTGTGTGTATGCATGTATACATATATATTCTCATTGGCCCAAGACCAGGTAAATGTACCTAAGGTAAGCCTTAGAAGACAGGCCCAGAGCCCAGATTTCCTAACCACTGGCCCTGAATCCTGTTGCCCTGTAGGAACTGTTCACAATTCTGAGTCTGGCCCTGGCTCTCGGGATGGGTCATTGATGGATGCAGGACTTCAGCACACTAAGAGAGTGTCTGAGTTAGTACATCAGTGACTGCCAAGAGATGGCCTCAACACAGAAGGCCTGATGCCCAGAAATCCAATCGCAAGAACGTGGGGTCACCCATGATGGTACACCAGTTTCCCTGCACAACTGAGGCTAAATCGAGCCCTTCCCATCAAAAGATCCCTCGGTAACCAGCAGAAAGACAGGTATACTCATGAGACCACGACTCGTGTGTGTGTGTTCATGCACCCATGCACACACTAGCATTGTTTGTGTGTTGCCTTAACCTAAGACTGAGATTCTCCTGAGATTTTGTCTTCATCTGAGAAGGGTTCCTTGGTGGCATGAGAGGGTACAGGATCCAAGCTAGGTAGAATGGTCATAACCACCCCAGACAGCAGAAGTGTTCATGTGTCAGACCACTGCCCTCAGCCACTGGGAAATAGAGAGCTCAGCAACAAGTACCCGAGGCCCAGGTCCACCAACAGACCACCAGTCAGGAAACCCTACAGAGATGGGAGCAACAAGAACTGAGGAGGATTCTGTTTCTTTTTTTTTTTTCTTTTTTCTTTTTTTTTGGTTTTTTCAAGACAGGGTTTCTCTGTGTAGCTTTGCGCCTTTCCTGGAACTCACTTGGTAGCCCGGGCTGGCCTCGAACTCACAGAGATCCACCTGCCTCTGCCTCCCGAGTGCTGGGATTAAAGGCGTGCACCACCACCGCCCGGCTCTGTTTCTTTTATATATAGAGAGAGGTATATCCAGGTCAAGCATGGCGGTACAGGCATACAATCCCAGCATTCAAGAGCCTGAAGCTGGATGATCTCAGATTGGCCTGGGAAATTTAGTGAAACTTTTTTTTTTTTTTTTTTTTTTTTTTTTGGTTTTTCGAGACAGGGTTTCTCTGTGTAGCTTTGCGCCTTTCCTGGAACTCGCTTTGGAGACCAGGCTGGCCTCGAACTCACAGTGATCCACCTGGTTCTGCCTCCCGAGTGCTGGGATTAAAGGCGTGTGCCACCACCGCCCGGCCTAGTGAAACTTTTGTCTCAAATAAATGAATGAATAAATAAATAAATAAATAAATAAATAAATAATAAAAGGGCTGGAGAGATGGCTCAGAGGTTAAGGGCACTGGCTGCTCTTCCAGAGGACCTGAGTTCAATTCCCAGCAACCACAGGGTGGCTCACAACCATCTACAATAGGATCTGATGCTCTCTTCTGGCCTGCAGGTATACATGCAGAGCACTCATACACAAAATATAAAAAAATGTTTAAAAATTTTAAAAATTGAAAAAAGAAAAAGAGAGATCGTGCTAGGGATGTATCTCAGGGGTAGAGGGTTTGCCTTACATGAGGCCCTAAGTGCAGTGCCCACTAAAGGGGGCGGGGCTAAGGCGTCCTTTCAAGGGGAACTGGCTTAGTCCAGGATGAATGACTATTTCCTTGGGTCACAAGGAATGTTCCCCCGTTTGAGAAAGAGGCATGGGGTACCTCAGAGAGCTTGACCAGAGAGGAGACAGCAAGACCCTGGGAGAACAGGGTGCCGGTGGAGTCAGAACCAGGCCTGCTGCCTGCCAGGACCTCCGTTTCTTCAGCCATTCAGTGAAGGTGCCAACAGCCCTGTCAGCTTCCCTCCTCAACCCTCTGTGCAGGTGACAGCGATTAGGTGTGAAAGGCAGGATTTTTATGGGCCAAGTTCAGGCATCTTAAGTGTGGCAGCACCCCGGCTTCTCACTTTGTAAAGCCCCTTCAGAATGTTGCCGGGTCCCTGGACACAGGACAGAGCCAGACAGCCTAGGCGCCATGTGTCCCTTGGTCTGTCTCTTGCAGCTGCCTCCAGAAACTGAAGCAAAGGATTGCCAGGCAACCTCCCTCCTTGGACCTCAATAGACACCAAAGGAACCAGGCCCATCCCACCAGGACCATGGTTGGACTTCAGCCATCAGAAGTGCCTCCCACAACAGTTGTGAAGTTCCTGGGGGCCGGTACTGCCGCCTGTTTCGCTGACCTCCTCACCTTCCCCCTGGACACCGCCAAGGTCCGCCTGCAGGTGGGTGCCTTTGGCCAGCGGTTGTGATTCATGAGGAAGAAGGGGCTGCTTCTGCACAGCGTGTGCCGGGGGAAGGCCACTCCCTACACTGTTCTGTCCCCACCGCCATCCCTCGGGACCAAAACAACCCAAATGCCTTGATATGATGTGACAGGGCTCTTTACTTCTCACCCTTGCTTTGTAAGCCATAAAGTGGAAAATAAAGGTAAGGCAGTAATGGTGTGGGCTTGGGTAAGCCTCTAGCCATCTACTGTAAAATAGGGAAAGCATACTGGCCTCTCAGCGTACGGAGGAGCCACGTAAGTGATCGCTGCTTTGTGAACTTCACCACGATGCACACTCAGCTGTGATAAGCATGCTAGTTCTAAGACTCTGCAGGGGCCCTGCACACACAGACCCCCTTCCCCAGCCGCCCATCAGCTCCTCGGGCCCTATGCTTGTCCCTCAGATCCAGGGGGAGAACCCAGGGGCGCAGAGCGTGCAGTACCGCGGCGTGCTGGGTACCATCCTGACCATGGTGCGCACCGAGGGTCCCCGCAGCCTCTACAGCGGACTGGTTGCTGGCCTGCATCGCCAGATGAGCTTTGCCTCCATTCGAATCGGCCTCTACGACTCTGTCAAACAGTTCTACACCCCCAAAGGAGCGGAACGTGAGTGCCAACACCAGTGGATACCTAGGGACACCCAGGGGCACCCATGGACACACAGGGGTGGGCAGGAAGCCCAGCTGGCAGCTGGCGTGTGGGTCAAGGACATGGCGTGGTCCAACAAGGCTAGTTGGGCATGGGGAAGCTGGTGACAGACCCTGGCGAGATTTTGACAGTGTTAAGGACTCACGGTTCTCTCTGCCCTCCCCAGACTCCAGCATCGCCATCAGGATTCTGGCAGGCTGCACCACGGGAGCCATGGCAGTGACCTGTGCTCAGCCCACGGATGTGGTGAAGGTCCGATTTCAAGCCATGATACGCCTGGGAACTGGAGGCGAGAGGAAATACAGAGGAACTATGGATGCCTACCGAACCATCGCCAGGGAGGAAGGAGTCAGGGGCCTGTGGAAAGGTAAACGCAGTATCCTTGGGCAGAGCTTTCCCTCCCCGAGGGCTGAGACAGGGAACCCAGCAAGGAGGAACTCCCGAAGCACGGTTCAATACCCTAAGAACGCCCAAATACAATACCTCACACACCAGCCACTGGACCTCAAATATTGTTCACCTCACCAGTCCTCATCTGCGTAGGCCACCCTGAGAGAAACAGAAGGGAACACAGGGCACCCACTCCTCAGGGCTTTACCGCAGAGGAGCTAAGGAGGCCAGGGTGCAGCTTGTATCACAGGCAGGGGGCCAGGAGGCAGGCCAGAGGTGGGAGAGGCTGAGCTGGCTCCAGAAAAAAGCTGGTCTCCAAGACCAAGGTGTAGAGACGGAAGGGGAGAGCCTCCCGAGGACACAGTGCAGGCACAGAAGGATGGAGAAACGCAGCCGTGGAGCCAGTTGCAGTGACGTGTGTGAGTGACTTCCTTGGGAGTGAAGACTGTAGAGTTCCCTGTGTGCTAAGCCCTTGGCAATCGCCAGAATCCCTCCTGCACTTGGACCACCATTCCCATGAGTCCTTGCAGGAGAAAAATGGCCCTGTGGTGTTTAAGGGCAGGATGCCCAAGTCACAGCGCTGCCAATGCACTCTTGCTGGTGTCCCACTCACGCCAAGCCTGTCCTCTCCCGGGTGACACCTGTCTCTGAGCGCCCTGCCATACCTCCTGTCACTGTCCCAGGGGCTCTGCCTCCCTCCTCCATGAAAAATTTCCTTTCCTGGCTGCTCCTGGGTCTCAGGGAGGCACGTTGAAATTTTGACAGAGTGCAAATTATGCTCCAAATGCAGCCAAGCAGTGGGTGTCTGTTTGTGAAGGTGCAGGAGTTTAACAGCTGATAAAAAGTGGGATCTGCTTGGCTGAGGTGTGGTCCCCTGGCTGAGACCACTGCTAGAGGGCTCTGTCCCCAAGCTGGAGCCCTGCATTCATCAGGCCCCACTGCCTTCCTGACAGGGACGTGGCCCAACATCACCAGAAACGCCATTGTCAACTGTGCTGAGATGGTGACCTATGACATCATCAAGGAGAAGCTGCTGGACTCTCGCCTGTTCACTGGTGAGCGTGGGCGGGGAGACGGCAGTGGGCGCCACTCAGAGGGATCCTGAAAGAGAGAGAGAGGAGCAGTGCTCCGTTCAGGACTGTGATGAAGAAAGAGGCCTAGGCTCCAGGCCAGAGCCTGGGTTCCAGGGCCAGCACCTAACTCAGTGTATCCATAAGTGATGGCCACTTGCCTTCTCTGACTTCAATTGCCTAAAAGAAAAAAGCTCTGTAGCTTTCTTACTCAGGGATGCTCGGTTCTAGCTTGCTAAGACTAACCAAGAGCTCAGCCTTGGGCACTGTGCTCCGGAGGTCGAGGTCAAGGTTGCACTGGAGACAGACAGTGACCACATCTGCAAAGCGTGCGCACATGCTCCATCCCTGGAATGTTCTTCCCCCCTTCTACAGACAACTTCCCCTGTCACTTCGTGTCCGCCTTTGGAGCAGGCTTTTGTGCCACAGTGGTGGCTTCTCCGGTGGACGTGGTAAAGACCAGATACATGAATGCTCCCCCAGGCAGGTACCGCAGCCCTCTACACTGTATGCTGAGGATGGTGGCCCAGGAGGGCCCCACAGCCTTCTACAAAGGGTAAGCTGCCACCTTTTTCTCTTCTTCCCTCCTTCTCCCCCTTTTTCTTCCTCTCTGACTGAGTCTCATGAGTTCCAGGCTGGCCTAGAACTCACTACGTAGCCAAGAATGACCTTGACATTCTGATCCCCCTGGCTACACCTCTGAACGCTGCATTATAGGCTTGTACCACCACACCTGGCTTTGGGGGTTCTCTTATCCCAGGTGCCTACAACAGAAGCCTTTCTAAGAAAAAGTAGGCCAAAGCCAGATAAAATGATTGTTTGTCTCCAAATGTTTCGGGTAGGGGGCTTTTCCACAGCTGCTGCCCTGGCCATTCACCACCACACTCACTGCAGTGTAAGTACCATTCTCCTAACCAACACTCAGGGTCCCTTTGCATTTTTAAAAAGAATTATCATTATTATCATAATCATTAGTGTGTGTGTGTGGTACATGTGTGTATATGTACCACAGCACATGTGTGGAGGTCAGAGGACAATTGTGTGGAGTTGGTTCCCTCCTTCAACCTTTACATGGGTTCCAGGGTTCAAACTCAGTCCAAGGGCACACAAGGGGCATGCATCCTTGCGTGCAGCAGCACAGCCCACAGGGCTGGCCTTCCCTCAATGTCTACATAGTCTAAATCTCAGCCACTCTTGCAGACTAGTCCAAATACCACCTCCACCCTCACACTGTCACACGGAAGTTTTCCCTCCTTTCCATGAGCCTCAGCAATACTATTTGATCCGCTGCTACGATAATTCCACCTCCTACAAAATTAAATTCATCTTCACACTAGCACACAAGCTCCTTGGAGCTGAGACTGTTGGCACATCCATTTTTTTTTTTTTAATCATCCGAAGATCCAAACAGAGCAAGCATTCAATAGTGCGGGTTATTCACCATCATCCTGAAAGCCAAGCCCCTACATTGAGCCTTGTGCTGGGTACTTTATATAGCATATTGCAGCAACCTTCTGAACTAGGTAGTATTCCCCACAATGCACTTCAAAATAGTAACTTGTCCAAGATCACAAAATGGCCGAGCCCCAGCCCCAAAGCCATACCCGTGTGGTGCTTCCTACCCACTGGTAAGGTCTTGGCTTGGCTCCCACATTAATGCCTTTAGCTTATATTTCCTGGTGTGTGGTGTTTAGTTGAACCCAGCAGACAAACAGAAACCACTGCAAGTTCTCATGTCTGGAAATAACACACTCAACCTGTCACCTAGCACTGTTTGCCTGGATGTTTTCAGCTAGTGCCTCAGTTTACTCTTTCACTTGGCAAACCTTTATTGAACAGGCTCTGCCCTATGTCTCCCTCGAGGAATCATAGACAAGTAAGCAGCATTGACTGAGCAGGGCTAGGTGCTGTCCCCGCGGATTCAGTTAACCATGTGACAACCTTGTAAGGGAGGTACTACTACACCTTCTCTTTTATTTTATTTTAAGGTCTCTTGTTGCCTATACTGGCCTCAAACCCCCGATCTTCCTGCCTCCACTTCTCAGGGGCCAGGATCACAGGCATATCCACACACCCAGGGTTTACTGTCCTTACTTCAAGATGAGGAACTGGAGGAGCCAGGATTTTAGCCCAGGTTTGACTCGCCTCCAAAGTTTGGATAATATTGCCACAGTGATATAATCCTTGTGAAGGTTCAAGAACTGCCATGACAAGCTGGGTTTGATGGCTGATGCAGGGGTTGCCTTGAGTTCAAGGCCAGCCAGAGCTACATAGTAAGGCCTTATCTCACACTCTCCCCCACAAAGGAAATGCTGTGGCATATGGCTGCCATGCCCAACTGAATCCTACAGCATGAAGAGCAACCCTTCAGACTGGAAAGATAACCCAAGCTGAGGGAAGGGCAATGTGTTTAAAGGGACAGAAGAGGGCCTGGCATCATCAGGGCATGGTGACTTGATCCTCCAGGAACCCAGGGGCCCAAGAGGGAGCAATTGGGGAGTGTCTGGCCTGAGGGACCAGAGGCCAGGCTCCTCCCTGCCTGTGAGAAGCACAGATAGGTGGACCTCTCTCCCAGGGTACTCCCTGAGCAGAGCTCTCTGGAGATGAGCTGATTCTGGTACCATGCTCCCTCCACCCTGACCTGTAGCCACTTCTTGATGTCCTAGCCTGGGCCTTCTCTGGGTGGAAATCTGGATGTAAACCGGCCCAAAGCCCCTAGCATCAGGATGAGTTGGGTCAGACTGTGTCCCAACTCGACAGTGCTATTTACCAACTTTGTGGTTCCTCAGCCTCTCTGGCCTCAGTTTCCAAAAAAGGACTTGCAACCAGTAGAGTGAGCCCACAGACCTGTGAGAATTAGTTTCCTCACATGGTAACCTGCCTTAAAGTTAGCTTTCTTTCCTTTTCTGATTCCAACTCCTGCCAAAATCCCTTCAGCAGAGACAGCAAAGCCAAAACGGATCTCAGAAAAGAATTGTGACAAGCAGCCTTCGTCCGGCCTGGGGACAGCGCGGTAGGTGTGCCTGTGCCTCCTAGCTGGTCTTCCTCACGTGGTAGTTGTTTCTCTCCTCAGATTTGTGCCCTCCTTTCTGCGTTTGGGAGCCTGGAACGTGATGATGTTTGTAACCTACGAGCAGCTGAAACGGGCCTTGATGAAAATCCAAGTATTACGGGAATCTCCATTTTGAACACGGCAAGCGGGCTACTTGGTGCTTTCCTCATAAAAGGCTGCCTAGAAGAGAATAAAGCCGCGGCTCTCTGCCAGCGGACCCAATGGACCGAGTGGACCGAGCAGACCCAATGGACCCAGCAGACCCAGTGAACCCAGCAGACCCAGCGGACCCAGCCGACCCAGGCCCACACACATTACAGAACTCTGCGCTCATTGCTGATTCAAGAAACTGAACTAAAAGAGGAGGAAAGTTTTAGTCTTCCGTGTTTTGTCCTAAAACACCTTTGTTTTGCACTGACCTGATGGGAATTAAATTATATTAATTTTTAAAGCCCTTCCGGTTGGATGCCTAACATTTAGGCAAAAGAAAATCCGATTCCTTTGGACAAAAGGGAGGTTTGCCAACCCCCCAGAAATGTAGGATTAGACGATGAATAAGAAAGTGGAAAGGCACCGGGCGGTGGTGGCGCACGCCTTTAATCCCAGCACTCGGGAGGCAGAGCCAGGCGGATCTCTGTGAGTTCGAGGCCAGCCTGGACTACCAAGTGAGTTCCAGGAAAGGCGCAAAGCTACACAGAGAAACCCTGTCTCGAAAAACCAAAAAAAAAAAAAAAAAAAAGAAAGTGGAAAGGCTGCAAGCATTGGGAAGATCAGCCCACTGTGTAGTGGAATCACCTCAAATGCCCGAGGGACATTTCATCTTCAGCACAAAGCTATGATGACAGCCTTCACAGTCACCCGAGGACATCTGCCCTTCTGTAATGAGACCGCCAAGTGGTCTCCATTAAGATTCTGGGAAAATGAGAAAGGAAAAAGAAAACATTGGGCCCATATAAGCAGGTCCGGCTGGGCCCACCCGGGACTATGGAGGATGGAGGATGTACAGTGAGTAACAGTCCCTGCCTGTCTACCTCGGGGTGTTGGGAGGATCGAATGAGAAGCAGGGCAGGGAAGCACTTTATAGAACAATGCCTGTCTACAAATGTAAACACGAAAACACTGCTCTAGGAGAGATTTTTTTTTGTCCAAAGAGGAAGCCTGGCGAAAATGCAGTTTAGCGGTGAGGCCATGCACACCAGCATGGTGAGGACCACGGATGACCGAAGCCATGGGAACCTGCTGCCTGGTAACGGCAAAGGGCTGTGGGTCAGGAGAAGAGGCACTACCTGTCCATCAGTCCAAAGCAGCAGGACCCAGAATCTTTAGGAAATTGCTTTGACTCAATTAAAAGAATTCCCACCTTAAGGGAAATAAGAACGGCTGCTTTCCGGCCTTCTCTCTCCGACAGATTTTCTCAAGTCCCGCTTGTCAGGGTGGCCACAGACCCAGCTGGCTCCACTCGCCTGGACTTCCTTCTCTCTCACTGCCTTTGGCTGCTAAGACAATGTACCTCCTCCATCTACAAGAGGAAGTCCTGAAGCACAGGACCAACTTCCAAGTTGAAGACCGCACATCCGGCAACGGCATGGCTCCCTGGGTTCAATCCCCGGGACCCACGTGGTGGATGGAAGGAGAGAACTGACTCTTCCAAGCTATCATCTGACCTCCACAGGCGCGCTCATACATACATGTGAATGTATACATGGACAAACACAATGAACAAAGGAATACATGGGGAAAAGAAAGAAGAGTTTAACTGCATTTGGTGGTGTGAAGGAGATGTCCCCAAATGTCCCAGGCATTTGAATACTTGGTCCCCCGTTGTTGGGGGCTGTTTGGGGACACTTAGAAGATACGGCCTTGCTGGAAGAAGTGTGCCATGGGGACTGGCTTTGGGAGTCCAGAGACTCATGCCATCCCAGTTTTTCTGTTTCCTGCTTTCAGTTTGGGATGTGAGTTCTCAGTGGCTGCTCCAGCCACCGGGCCTGCTGCCAGATCCCTCACCAAGACGGACTCTCTCTGGAACGGTCAGCCCCAAATAAAACTGCCTTCTCTAAGTGGCCTTGGTCGTGGTATTTCATCACAGCAATGGAGAAGCAACTCAGACAGTGCACATCTGTCCAGCTGTGCCTTCCAGTGTCGTACAGTCTCGGCCTGCTTCTTAGGAGCTTGGTTGGCTCTGATGGACATCAGAAGGGGCTCCAGGCTGGAGATGGAATTCATCGGCTGAGCGCTTGCCTAGCATGCAGAGCCCTGAGGATGACCCTCAGCACCACATAAACCACACATGGCGATGCTCACCTGTGATGCCAGCACGCAGGAGGTAGAGAAAGGTGGATCAGGAGTTCAAGGTCCAACCTTGGCTCCATAGCAAGTTCAAGGTCACCCTGAGACACATGAGACCCGGTCTGGAAAAGAAAAAAGAAAGAGAAGAACCAGTCTCCAAGCCTCATCCCACCTCACTGTACTAGCCACCTAGCCACAGAGAGCCCTTGCTTTTCAGTGTCCTCCCAGAGAAATGTCAGTGGATCTCTGTGAGTTTGAGGCCAGCCTGATCTACAGAGTGAGTTCAAGGATAGCCAGGACCAATATACAGAGAAACCCTGGGAAAAAAACAAAAACAAAAAACTTTAAGAATACAGGAGGAGCTTGGCAATGTCATTTCTTCCTTCCTGCCCAGACTCAGCTCACTGAGAAAAACTGTACCTCAGCATGCCCAAGTTTCAGCTGTAACTTGAGATCATCTACTCATACAAACTAGATAGTTGAAGCAATCAAAAAGAAATTATCTTGACTTAATGTCCCTCATAGCCTTCAAATAAAAACCTGCATTTAGAAGGCCCTCTTTCTTTTGACTTGACTCACATGTGTAAATCACTGTTAAACTGCTCTCTCATTCAAGTCCCCCGGGGGTCAGGAACTGTCTATTCATTTCTGTGTTATTAGGAGACTGTGCAGATGAAGAGGAGGAGTGGGCAAGCAGAAGAGAAGAAGGGGGAGAAGGAACTGGGAGGTTGGGGTGGTCTTGGTTTAGTTTTTGAGACAGTCTGACGTAGTCCAGGCTGGCCTGAATTTACCATGTAGCAGAGGACCTTGAACTACAGATCTCCTGCCTCTGCCCTCCAAGTACGGGATTCCAAGAGTGTGTCACCAAGCCTAACCTGAAAGATTCTGATAGAGAGAAGGATCCCAGAAATTTTGGGTCCAGGCTTTTGGAGACAAGAAGATAAAATTAAATGAGTAGTCTGAGGACCCTTGGGCAAATTCTTTGGCTTTTTTGTTTTGTTCTGAGAATCAAACTCAGAACTTCGTGCTAGGCAAGCACCCTACCAGCTGAGCTCCACCCTCTGTCCACTTCTTAAAAGAGGAGGTTAAACCCGTGCATCTAAAGGCCTTTAGTTCTGGGACTCCAAAGACTGTTTACCCCACCCTTGTAGTCCCGGCTTCAACTTCAACCTCTAGGAATTGGTGTGAACTCATGAGAAGGTCAACTCAACAGCAGAACCCCCCTCCACCAGGGAGATGGACTCCTGGGCTCTGTGACCCCACAACCAACATATGTCTACCCTCAGTCAAGACATTCAGAAGAAACCCAAGGGCTGGAGAGGTGGCTCAGCAGCTAAGAGCATGCAGTGCTCCTGCAGGGAGTCTGAGTTCTGGTCTCAGCACCCGTGTGGTGCACGACCCCGGGTGATTCCAGTTTTGGGGGCACCCAAGGCTTCTGGCCTCCACTCATACACACTCGTGCATTCACACATACATAGACACACTTTAAAATCAATAAAACCTTAAAAAAAGGAAATCAGCTTTTCCTGAAATTCTTCTAGTGTATCCAGCAGAACTAAACTAGTTTGAACCTAGATTCAATGACAGAGGTGACACCATAGATGATAACTGACTATGGAAATCTTCTGAGTAAAAATGTATTTTTAAATTAACATTGAAACGTGGGCATTTTTCTTTTCTTTCCTTTCCGTGTATTTATTTGTTTGTTTGTTTGTTTTGAGACTGTGTCTTTCTATGTAGCCCTGGCTGTCCTGAAACTTGTTATATAGACCAAGCTGGTCTTGAACTCACAGAGATCCATCCTCCTGCCTCTGCCCTCTGAGCGCTGGAATTAAAGGCCTTCATTTTGGCATTTTTCTTTTTTCTTTTTCAGGGGTTTGGTTTTTTTAAGACAGGATTTCTCTGTATAACAGCCCTGCCCTCCCTCGAGCAGGCTGGCCTTGAACTCACAGAGATCCACCTGCCTCTGCCTCCGGAGCACTGGGACTAAGGGCATGCACCACCACACCCAGACATTTTGGCGTTTTTCTTAAAGCACTCGGTTTGGTTGATCTTCCTCCCCTGCTCTTCTCTCTGTCTTCCCTACACTCTGCTCAGGCCTGTCAGTAGTCCCTATACCACCACCCTGTCACCTTGTTCCCTTATCCTCCCTACAACCCCTCCTTAAAACCGTCTCTCCTGTCATGGTCCCCTTTCTCCTTTTATAGCTTATTACCACCCCACCCACCCATCCTACCTACCCCACCCATGCACATCCACGAATCCAGGCACACACACACACACACACACGAAGCCAGGAGCTATTGTGTATGTAAACCACTGGGCATTTGAGGATGGGTCAAGGTCTTCCTGGGTAGCTGTGAGATCTTAAACGTAGCCAAGGCTGCCATGACAACATCTGGGGGAGTCCTGGGAGCAGTGGCTGTGAAGCTGACAGCTCCTAGAGTCTCCACAAAAATGGTTGGGTCAAAGCTGTTGTGTGTGTCGCCACCCCCCCCCCCCACACACACACACCTACACACACCACTACCACCTGCTTAACTTGAGGAGTAGCAGCAACATGGCTCACATGTCTACCAGACTTGGGGGACAGCAGCAGCAATTCCAACTGGGCTCTGATCTTGACTGCTTTGGGGAAGACACAGGGTTTGCTCCAAGGTCGTTACCACTACAGCCAACATAGGTGAAGGCTTTGGCAGCTACTGAGCAAGTAGCCGAATGCTGCACCCACCCAGCAGCTTCAACCATCAGAAGAGAACCACGCTGGTTACAGCCTCTGCTTCCCAGGTCCACTCAAACCTGGGCCACATAAAAAGAAGCATGGGCTGACAGGGTGATGGCTCAGTTAGTAAAGTGCTCTGTGGCAAAAGCATGGAGACCTGAGTTCGAATCCCCTGCACTCCCACAATTGAATAATCTCAATGCTGAGGAGGCAGACACAGGAGGATGCTGGACTTCACTGGCCAGACAGCCTAGTCAAATCAGTGAGCCCCAGCCTCCAAAACCAAGACGAACATGGTGGCACGTGCCTTAGTACTCTCAGGAGGCAGAGGCGGGTAGATCTTCGAGTCTGAGGCCACCTGGTCTACATATCAAGCTCCAGGCCAGCCAGGGTTACACAGTGAGAGCCTGTCTCAAAAACGGGGGAAAAATTTTAAAAGATGGAGACAGCGCCCCCCTGGACTGTCTCCTACCTTCTCACAAGGGCTCCATTTTTTCATATCCTAATCAGTGCTTATTACTTTCTGGGGTTCAAAATAGTAGCCATCTTAATACGTATGAGGTAGCACTTCATCATGGTTTTGGTTTGGATTTCCTTAACGATTAATGTTGTCAGTCATCTTTCCGTCACTATTCCAAATTCCTGAAATAAATCAACTTTATAAGGAAGTGTTTCACAGGTTTCCATTCACTCACTTGGCCCAGGTGTTTTGGAGGCCTGTGGTGATGCAGAAGCCCATGGCGTCAAGGAAGGAGAGATGTAGATAGATAGATCATAGATAGATGATAGATAGGTAGATAGATAGACAGTAGATCATAGATAGATAGATGATAGATGATATAGACAGATGATAGATAATGATAGATAGATACATGATAAATAGGTAGATAGATAGACAGTAGATGATAGATAGATGATAGATGATAGACGATACATAATGATAGATAGATAGATAATGATAGATGATAATAGATGATAGATAGATAGATAATGATAGATGATAGATAGATATAGATAATGATAGATGATAATAGATGATAGATGGATGATAGATAATAGATAGATATAGATGGATGGTAGATAGATGATTGATAGATAGATAGGTAGATAGATAGATAGATAGATAGATAGATAGATAGATAGATAGATATAGCTGGATGGATGGTAGATAGATGATTGATAGATAGATAGGTAGATAGATAGATAGGTAGATAGATAGATAGATAATGATAGATGATAGGTAGATAGATGATAGATGATAGATAATGACAGATGATAGATAGATGGTAGATAATAGATAGATAGATAATAGATAGATAGATAGATAGATAGATAGATAGATAGATAGATAGATAGTAGGTAGATAGTAGATAGAGAGAGACTGAGCCTTTATATACCCTTCCTGCCTCAGCCTCCCAAATGCTTTACCACAAGTGTGAATTCCCATAAGCTGCTTTGCTGTTTGACTCAACTCTTTGACAGGAAATCTCTCATCAACAATGTCAAACTCTCATTTAGGATCTGAACAGCTTCCTAAACAAAGAACTCAGGAAGTTTCAAAACACTGGTAAAGGACAAGTATGGAGTACAAAGAGATTTTGAGAAGCAGAATTCCATGTCCACGTCATAATACAAATATAGCTTCCCCAGTGAGAACAACTCAGTGTTTTCCGAGTCTCCTATACTGTGGAGGCTTCCTTGATTTAGACCCTGTGACCTGCAGTAGAGATCTAAATAAAGTTACATATTGGAGCTGATAAGACAGATTAGCAGGTAATCTAATCACCTTACAACACATAAGCGTAATTTTTAAAAATTAAAAAGTTACATCTTGTACACCACCAAAAATAAAAATAAATTGCTCACAGTTTGTTTCCATGGCTCCTTTCACCAATGAATCTAGCCCATCTGAACAGGATGCCTCAGTATGTCGTTATGTAGGAATCACACCCGGAGTTGGAGTTCTGTTTATTTTATTGCCCAAAGATTGAAAACTTCAGCAAGTAGCAGACTAGTATTTTAAGATCAGCATCATTATTTACCATATTTTGTTATTAATTTTTTTTCAAGACAGGGTTTCTCTGTGTAGTCCTAGAATTCGCTCTGTAGACCAGGCTGGCCTCGTACTCAGAGATCTGTTTGCCTCTGCCTCCAAGTGCTGGAATTAAAGGTGTGTGTCCACCACTGCCCAGCTAGTAGTTTTTAAATAAACCAACTTTTGCCAGGCAGGAGGCATATACCTATAATCCCAGCATTGGGGAAGCTGAGGCAAGATGTTTGCCTCAAGTTTATGGCCAACCTGGACTACATGGCCAGTACCAGGCCAGTTAGGGCTACACAGCAAGACCCTGTCTTAAGAAAAGGAAAAAAATATTTAATTCAACTTTAAACAAGATGTGGTAGCAGCATTTGGGAGGCTGAGGCACAAGATCATAAATTAAGGGCTACATACTGAGGCATGGTTTCAACGGGTCTTTTGTTTGTTTTTTCAACTTTATGTCATTTTAAATATATATATTCTTAAATATTATAAATAAAAAATCTTTATTTTTTAGCTACCAGAACAATACCTTGGTATTCAGGCTTTGGGATCCATCTGGATCTCCCTCTCCACCACAAATTCGCCAAGAACCCTGGCGGTCCCTTCACCACAGCCAGAGTCAGAATCCAGAGCAAAAGACCAGCCAGGTGACTCCAGCCACAGTGAGGGAAATCGTTTTCTGCCTTACTTTCTGTATCCTTGTTTCTGCTTTGGACGGACAGAACATTATCTACCTGGTTTCCAAGTGGCCAGAGTTTAAGCCGGAGTGCGCCACTGTGTGCCATTAGGCAAGGGATTTCATCTCTTTGGATTTGGTTTTGTTGTGGGGTATCCACCGGAGAAGACTGCTCAGACCGATAAGCCAATAGAAAGCCTTTGTTAGCTAGCTACACTGGGTAGCTATCCCAGTGTGGCACTGAACCTTTCTCTGGGTGAGCTTTTAAGCACAAAAACGGTTTGCAGTTGACATACTTCAGTTAACAAAAACAACCAGAAACAGAACGACAGAAGCCGAGAAACAAGGTTAGTCTATTTAGAGACTTCGAAGAACTGTGGACTTTGATGGATTAGGTCTTTATTTCCATTTTGGCTGGTGGTGCTGTCTGGGTGCTCAGCTCCGTTCTGAGTTTTACAGCCTGAATGGTACTTCCATCATGGAGTCAGCTGTGCTAAGGTCTGGGGGCCTGGTACAGTTCCTGTTCTGGAAAATAAAGGTTAACGACAGTTTGGACGGGTTGTATGAGGTGTCCTCGCCTAGCTGGCACATAGTCATTGCTTTCTACACTGGTTCACTCAATCCCCTCCTCCCACTGCACTTTCCATAGCAGCCCAAACCAACTTGAGCCTCTATTACAGTATATTCGGGCCCTTGGTTCCCGCTTCCTGTTCTTAGGGCGCCTAACTCCTAGGCAAGCAAAAAGAGTTCCACGCCCTGAGCTAACTTCTTTAAAGCGAGTCTCTGGGGCAGACACGAATCAAAACAAAAGAAGAAAGCCGGAGAGTACCAAAGCAGGAACACAGTCCAAAGACCAACTGAGACCTGCTTCCTCCTCTCACAATGCACATTAGTCCCGGACACAGGGCTCGAGTGTTGTTTTCGTGTCTGTCACCCCTACAAGTTATCTAGCTGAGGTCCGGTCCACCTGCTGAGTCTGTCATCCCCGGGCTCGGAATGCAGCAGGCCGGGCTCTGCCCTCTCCCTTGCCGGGCGCCGGCCTGGCTGCGGGCGGTGCACAGAGAGGAGGAGGTGAGGCCGGGTGCACTCGCCCCACCCCAGCCGTTAGGTGCCCGGGTCTCCAGGGACCAGACGGGAGCGGCGCAAGGCGGGAACGCCAGCCTCACCCCACCGCCGCGCCCGGGTTGGTTCCGGTCCCTGGAGCCCGCGCTCCGCCCCGTCCGCAGGTGGCTTGCAGGGCGTGGGGGTCGCGAGCCAGTCAGTCTGGCTGTCCTTACAATGAGAGTGGAGGCCTGGGGACCAGAGGCCGGGACCCTCGGGGGAGACCGGGGGACCCACACGGCTATCTGCCCTCGCGGAAGCAGGGGTGACACTAGACGCCCAGACAACCATAGATGGAAACTCCCCCTCACCCGGGAGAGTGGGCCACCCTGGCTCCGCCCCGGCCACACCACGCCCCGACCACGCCCGCGAGGCTTAAGTTCTGCAGCCGTGGGTTCGCAGCCACTGTCAGCCCCGCCCGCAGTGCCTTCGGATCGAGCGCTCCCTGGGCAGCCGTCACTCGCCCGCCGTCGGACACAGCCGCCCCCACTCCGTGTTCTCCTGCGGTCCGGTGAGCGTGGCCCCAGCCCTGCGCCGGCCTCACCTGTGCCTTCCCTCTCCATCTCTCTTTGCCCTTTGATTTCCCTTCCCTGGAGTCCTAGCCTGCCTGCCCTCTCTCGTTCCTTTCTGTCTCTTCCCTCCTACTGTCCCTTTGTTCTTTGTCTCTGGCGTCCCTTGGGTTGTAGGTTAGCCTTTATCCATCCACTCCTTCCCCTCGGCCCCGATGCACACAACCTGCCTTTTGGTGTGGGGCGTGTGTGTGTGAGTGGGGGGAAACGACACACACAACACACACCTTCCACGTCAGCGAAGACCAGACCGATTGTCACCAGGCTTCTCTGGGCCATGTGCCCTAAAGCCTGTTCTTGTTTCTGGGGTTGTTTGTGCCTGGAGGAGGCCTGGAGATTAATTGGCCACTGTCAGACTCTCCAATCTGCCCGAGGCCAGAGGTGGGAGTAGGGACACCGAGGGCCTGAGCCTGCCTTATCATGACCGCACACAAAGAGCACAATGCTCCACTCAACAGTCAAGAGACCGTTTCCCAGCACAGCGAGGCTGCCTATCTACACAACTGTGGGGAAAGAAGTTTGGAAATCACCCAGAGTGTGGGAGGAAAGACTCCTGAGTCCACCCCGCTCTGCCCCAGGGTGCACTTAACTAGAGCCCGGCTGCCCTGAGTGAAACGGGCCTTGTGTGGCAGGTGACCCGTCCCTTGGAGGCTGTGGTCCTGCAAAGAGAACATCCCTTTCTAAACGTGGCTTCTTTCCTCTCACCCACAGGACACATAGTATGATCTTTAAGAGTTCCGTCTCCCAGCCACTTTCTATGGAAACCCGCGGGGATCAGGCCATGATAGCCACTGGCAGCTTTGAAGAACGGGACACCTTTAGAGAAGCTTGATCCTGGAGGCCTCAGTGTGAGACCTCAAAGCTCCGCACCAGGTAAGAGCCAGGCTAAGGAAGCCCACTGTCCTCTCTCGGGCCTGGGGTCTAGGGCTGCAGTCAGCAGGACCATCAAGCAATACCCTCCTCCACCCTAGCAAGTGGCTCTTCACAGTTCAGTAAGCACTTTCGTCATCCTGGTCAGCTTCTGGCCCTCAAAGATGGCGGACTGCGGTGTCTAAAGGCAGAGCCTAACCCAAGTGGGAAGGAACTGGTTCTGGGTCGCCCTGGCAGTCAGCAGCAGAGGGGGCAGGAGTTTATTGGGTGTTTGGTTGTGTATTTGTTTATGTTTTGTCTTCGTGTGTGTGTGTGTGTGTGTGTGTGTGTGTGTGTGTGTGTGTGTGTGTGTGTGAGGGCACGTGGGTGCCAGGGCATGCTGATGGAGGTCAGAAGACAGCTTCTACCACATGAGTGCCAGGGATCAGACTCAGTTCCTCGGACTCAGTGGCAAGCAGCTTTTCCCATCTTGCTGGTTTGAACTTCCCTTCTTTGACCGTCCCTGTGAGTGAGATTAGAAATTGGGTGTGAGTTTTTTACTACCTACAGTGGTTACTTGTCTAGTCCTATAAAACAGGTTTTTTTGTTTTGTTTTTTTGGGGTGTGGTCAGGGTCTCACCACACATCTTTGGTTGGCCTATGTAGCCCAGACTGGCCTTGAACTCAGAGATCTGCCTGCTTCCCAAGGCCAGGAACTAATGGCATGCACCACCATGCCTCGCACGGTTAACTCTCTAGGCCTGGGTTTTACTTGTAGTAGGAGCTTTAGTACAGATGATCTTTGCCTCTATACCCAACCCTCAAGGGCCTGACCTTTGGAAACCCCTAAGCAGCATTCACAATGGCGGCCGAGCCACATGTTTTTGGTTTGGACAGCAACTGAGACTTCATCTTTCTGGGTTTCACACCACGCTCCCCTTAGCTTGAGATCAGGCCGAAATGCAGTGGGCTCATGCCTCATGTCACTGATGCTTAGAAGAGGTCTGTTCAAAAGCCTCTCAGAACTGTTTAATGGGCGTGAAAGGGTTTCCGTTGTGAAGGGCCCCACCAGAGCCTGGCACTGAGAAAACAGGAGGAGAGGAGGAGAGAGGCACTACAGATCAGAACAAACGGAGCAGCTTTGGAGCCCGCAGACATGGTTCTGAGCTTCCTCGTCTAACAGGGAGGGCAGCTGCCTCCCGGTCTGCTCTCAGGATTTCTCAGGGTTCTGTGCGTGTAGGAGCAGTGGAGTCAAAGCGTGGAGCACAGCCGAGGAGGAGAAGGAGGTGTCCCCCCTGGGGAGTCGAGAAGCACCTCCACCCTTACAATTTGCCATTTGATTCCTGTCTCGCTGAGCCCCAGGGGCCGAGACTCAAAGGCACGTGAATCTGGCTTTGCCCCAGAGGTGCTCTTGAACCCGTTGTTCTGGGGAGTCGCTCTGATGGCCCTGTTTGTCCCAAGCTGTTTTGTTTCCATGGTTGTCTGTGTTCACAGGTGACTACCACCACATCCTCCCTCCTCCAGCCGGGGCTCTCCTCCTGAGCCCTGGTAACACAGGCAGCCAATCAAGCTGGCCTCCGAGCGGTTGCTCCAATGAAATCAGAGAAGTGAGAGCAGGGCGAAGAAGCAGGTCACCCTCCCCCACTGGGAGCTGGGCTCACTTCCTCCTGGGGCAGTGAGTGAGGAGGGTGGTGTTCCAACTCTCAGAACAAAATGGAGCTTCAGGTTTCCTGTATCTATGTCCTCTGTGCAGCTGTGACCTGCACCTCCCATCCCACCCCCGAGAACTGAGGATTTCCCTGCACTGGGAGAAAACAAACAGACCTCCTGGCTGCCCCGGGTCTCCTGGCCTTGCCCTGTGCCTGCCAGTGAGCCTGGAGAGGGTGGGCAGTGCACCTCTGTGAACCTGCACCTGGGGACGCAGAGGGCCTGAGCTGTGGGGGCTAGCAAGGATGGAATTAACATGTCTTCCTTCCTTCAGTAATTACATACCAGCCCGAACCTCCCCTGCCTAGGAACCCAGGACAAAAGCCTGTGGGGTTTGGCTTGCCAGGTCCTGCTCTGGCAGAGCTTTCCCTCACTTCTGTCAGCCCTGGGGATAGACCCACAGAACGGGAATGTGGCCCTGCTCTTTGCAGTCTGTGTCAGCAGATCGGGAGCCGGTCGGTGGCTGTGAGGCGGTCTCAGGATGACCCGGAAGCCATAGTCCCTGCACTAAATAAGAGGAAGCCCTTCACAGAATCTCGGCTCCTTGGCAGGAATTGCTTCCCAGACCCCACTTGACTACTCTTGGAGCTCTCCCAGGGTTTCCCTCCTGGAACCCCTGAGACCTCCTTGGTGCCTTTAGGCAGGGGTAGGTAGTGGTGAGCAGGGAGCGAGGCCAGGGGATGCTGTGACTGAAGGGCTTCTTCTCTTCTTTTGGCTTAGATTCCGGCAGAGTTCCTCTGTCTCGTCTTGCTGATTGAAGGCTCCCACTTCTCCAATTTTTCTCCATCTTCTGGGAGGTAGAAGGAAATCAGAATCATGGTTGGATTCAAGGCCACAGATGTGCCCCCTACAGCCACCGTGAAGTTCCTGGGAGCTGGGACAGCCGCCTGCATTGCGGATCTCATCACCTTTCCTCTAGATACTGCCAAAGTCCGGCTGCAGGTGAGGATGACAGGAGACTCCTGGTGCTCCCTAATCTGCTCCCTCCCCGGGTCAGCCTCCTCGGGGGTGATGAGGAGCCTAGAGCTGGCAGGAGATGGCAGAACCATCTGCCTGTGCCCACAGCCACTCCATCTTGGCCTTTCAGATCCAAGGAGAAAGTCAAGGGCTAGTGCGCACCGCAGCCAACGCCCAGTACCGCGGCGTGCTGGGTACCATCCTGACCATGGTGCGCACCGAGGGCCCCCGCAGCCTCTACAACGGGCTGGTCGCCGGCCTGCAGCGCCAGATGAGCTTTGCCTCTGTCCGCATCGGCCTCTACGACTCTGTCAAACAGTTCTACACCAAGGGCTCGGAGCGTGAGTGTGCAGCCAGGACACAGCGGATGAGTGGGCCTTAGTCTGAATAGCTGAATGGCTCCCTTAGGCTTCCCAAGACCCCTGGGAGGATCGGAGGAGTGGAAGTGACCCCGGTTCCTTGTTATCTGAGCACCAGGGCTGTCTCAGCTCTGAGCAGGGTATGAGCCCTTGATAGGCTCACAACCACCATGGCAGTAAGTGGCCTCCTGGGTCACAGACAGAGAAACTAAGGCTTGAAATGGGGGAGGGACTGGGCCAAGGGCACAATGGAGAGACGACAGCCACACCCTCTGGCCCCCTCAGCCAGCATTCTTTCATCTCCTAAATGTGCCCTCCTTGGAGGGGAGGGAGTTGAGACAGGGTCTCACTATACCGCCCTGGCTGGCCTGGAGTTCACATGGCCGTGAGTTCACTGCCTCAGCCTCCCAAGTGCTGGCATCACAAGGATGTATCACCATACCTTCCTAAGGTCAGGAAACTGGGCACCGAAGACAAGGATGCCTTTCCCAGGATCACACTGTAGGAGAGGTAGAGCTCGGCTGAGAGCCTGCCTCTCAAGTCCGGTTCTGCTAGGAGAAGTCACTTCTCTTGGTCGTGGGTTTCACATTTGTTAAATGGGACTGACTGATTTTCCGAGGCTGCCAAGTAGCTTAAACGAACACATTTGAGAAAGGACTGCCTCCGTTTTGTGTTGCTCCTTGTTATACCCCTGTGAGGGCTTCGTAGAGCAAGAGTGGTCTAGTGGCATGGCGGTCGGGCAAGAGTGTGGTATACCTGAGTGCGCGCCATGCTGGCCACTGACCCCCTGTGCGCCCACAGATGCAGGCATCGGGAGCCGTCTCCTGGCAGGTAGCACCACAGGTGCCCTGGCTGTCGCTGTGGCCCAGCCTACCGATGTGGTAAAGGTGCGCTTCCAGGCTCAGGCCCGGGCTGGCAGTGGTAGGAGATACCAGAGCACTGTGGAAGCCTACAAGACCATCGCACGAGAGGAGGGGATCCGGGGCCTCTGGAAAGGTGTGTGCTGGGTGTTGGCTTCCCTGCCCTCCCCTCCCCTCTCCCATACCCTGGGCTCACACACGCTCTCCTCCCTCTACAGGGACCTCTCCCAATGTCGCCCGTAATGCCATTGTCAACTGTGCTGAGCTGGTGACCTATGACCTCATCAAGGATACTCTCCTGAAGGCCAACCTCATGACAGGTATGTTAGGGTCAATAAGAACTGTCTAGTTCCCTGAAGGCCACATCTTTTCATCTTCTTAGCCTTTTGCTTATAGAGTTTATATTTCTTACCATTCAAATTCAGCATTCAAAGTGGGGATGAAGACCCCACTTTGCACAAAGAAAAACAGGCTAGATTGGCCAAAAGAATCTTTTAAGTCCTCCTAAGAGATCCCAGCTGCTATCTGTGTCTTTAAAAGCTCTCTCCTTAAAACTCTTTCCCTCTGCAGTGATGGGTGAGGGCTGGGAGGCTAACAGCCTTTCCCTCTGCAGTGACGGGTGAGGGCTGGGAGAGCTAACAGCCTTTCCCTCTGCAGTGACGGGTGAGGGCTGGGAGGCTAACAGTCTTTCCCTCTGCAGTGACGGGTGAGGGCTGGGAGAGCTAACAGCCTTTCCCTCTGCAGTGATGGGTGAGGGCTGGGAGGCTAACAGTCTTTCCCTCTGCAGTGATGGGTGAGGGCTGGGAGAGCTAACAGCCTTTCCCTCTGCAGTGACGGGTGAGGGCTGGGAGAGCTAACAGCCTTTCCCTCTGCAGTGATGGGTGAGGGCTGGGAGGCTAACAGCCTTTCCTGCTGTTTTGTGGCAGATGACCTCCCTTGCCACTTCACTTCCGCCTTCGGGGCGGGCTTCTGCACCACGGTCATCGCCTCCCCTGTCGATGTGGTCAAGACGAGATACATGAACTCTGCCTTGGGCCAGTACCACAGCGCAGGCCACTGTGCCCTTACCATGCTCCGGAAGGAGGGGCCCCGAGCCTTCTACAAGGGGTGAGCCGCTGATCCCCCCCCACACCCAACTCCAGGCCTTACAGGAGGGAGAGAGCCCCCTGGAAGTGAGATGCAGCCACATGTCACACATCCCATAGTTGCTGTCACCTCTGTTTTTTAGAGGTCAAAGTGGGGGTTCGGGCTGGGGGTAGGATGGCTCAGTGGTGGAGTGCTTGCCTAGCAGGCACTGGGTTCTGCCCCCAGCACAGCAGAACTAGTGAGCTGGGTACTCGGGATTTTTGCTCTTGGGCACAGAGCTGTGGGGCTCTTCACCAGATCCTCTCAGTCTCCTTTGAGAGAGTCCTTGGGTTGGCTGGCTGGCTAGGCCCAGTGGTAGAAGCAGGGGGTGGAGGTACCTCCATGACTTGTGTTTTCTCTCTCTAGGTTCATGCCTTCCTTCCTCCGCTTGGGGTCCTGGAACGTAGTGATGTTTGTGACCTATGAGCAGCTCAAAAGGGCCCTGATGGCTGCCTACGAGTCCCGGGAGTCTCCCTTTTGAGCACCGCCTGCTGCAGACCTGGACCCCGCTTCCCTTCCCTGCCCTGCCCTGCCTTTTCCTTCATCCTCTGCCCAGCCCCACTTCCCGGTCCTTCGTTTCCCTCACCTCCCTTCTCTTCCCGCCTCATCTCCCTGTGCCTCAGTGCTGATGGCCCCACAGTGAGAATGCCTGACACCAGCCAAGACCCCAAGCCCTTAGTCATTTTAACAGTTAAACCCAGACCCCTGTCTTTATCCCCAGCCCAGCTCAGCCAGCCTTCGCCCATAAAGCAAGCTCAACCGTGGTGTCTTCTATCTCTCATAAGCTGTGTATAGAGGTCTTGGGCCAATGGGCCTCTTCAGCACCTTGGCAGGCAGGGGAGGACCCTTCCTGTGACTTTGAAAAGGGATGTGACCCACATTCCACCTCCAGCATCGGGGGAGGGGCTCGTGGGGAATCTAGTCCATTCCTCCAGATGCAGCCTAGGCTGAGGTAACGGTGGAACAGCCGAGGGAGACAGCAGAGCCTTTGCCCGCCCCGCCCTCGTGGGCCCTGTAAGCTGTCACTCAGCACCTGACGCTCTAGAACTGCCATCCCACCCACACTGGCCAGGCCTGTTGATCCGCACAGTGAAAGTACCTGTGTCCCTCCACATCAACTTGTTGGGAGATGTAGAGAAACTCCAGAACCTTCCATTCTTTGGGGCTTGATTTACTCTATTTCACACATAGTAACCCACCTCCCCATGTCATAGACCTGAGGGCAAGTGAGGCTGTCCCTAACAATAATCACACCCTGAGGCATGCTCTGAACCAGGGGGGCAGGGCAGGCCTGACCCCTTGAAGGATTGAGCTCAGGCCCCCTGGAAAACATCAGCCTGTAGGGATTTTGTTCTGTTTTGATGTTTGAGACAGGGTCTCACACTGTAGCCCAGGCTGGTCTGGAACTCATGACAATTCTGCCTCAGCTTCCCAAGAGCTGGGATTACAGCCACCATATCTGACTTCTCTTGGAAGTCTTACCCTCTCCCAAGGTTGGCAACCAGCCAAGGCTTAGGTTGTCCGGGGATGTCACTTTGTCCTCTTTCCAGCTGTCCTCAGGCAGGAGAGTGAGGCAGGGCTACTTTTCAAGGAGCAGGGGCTGTGAGGTCCCAGAACAAGTCTGGGCCTGTTAAGTCCCCAAGGCCCATCTTATACAGGTTTCAGCCATCTTATGCCTGTCTCAGGTGAGGGCCAAGACAAGACATACAGTGCCAAGGGTCCTTGGGGAATTGAGTCTGGCCGCTGTGAAGTCGGACCCAGACAACAGGATGTCCTTCTAGCCTAAAGCTGCTGTGGCTTCTGCCCCTCCACCCTAGCAGGCTGGGATCAGAGCTAGAAGGCTAGACCTTCCCCATGCTTGGTAAGAGGCCAGTCTGTTAGACTGTCTCCCAGAGTGCCCCCAGTTCTCAGCTTCTGAGAAATCCAGCCAGAGTGGGGGTGGGCCGGGAGTGCAGCCTGGTGCTCTTTGCTTCCCCACACAAGGACACAACAAATGGAGTTCTGGCCACTCTAAGTCCTTCGGGGAACAGTTACTACCCTAGGCATGTCTACCAACTGCTAACAGACGGGACAAGTGGGGGACGCAGTATGTCAGCTGGTTCCTTTGCCAGCAGTGTCTTCAGACATGTGGTGTGGATGTGAGACCACTGGAATTACGATGGGGAATGCCATCAGATGACCTGAGAAAGGGGGGGGCATTCACTGAAAAATCTACCAGAAGCCTCAGTAATATGAGTGGGTGTGTGATAAGCCCTGCTTTGCCTCCCTAGGTAGCCCAGGTCCTGAGATGACAGGGATCTCATAAAGATCTGGTGGAAGCCAGGCTTCCCACAGAGCCCTCCAGGAGGGTCAGCAGCAGTGGCCTTAGAGAAGGCAGGGAGTCCTACTTCCACAACCTCCCTATAGGGCTGGAGGCTTGCCCCCAGAGCAGGCAGTTACAACCACCTTCTGTCGGTCCCTCAGAGGGCAGTGATCCACTCCGACATCTGTTCCACGGGTCATTATGGAAGGGTTGAAATCTTTACTGTAAAACATGGATCCCCGGGGCTGGAGAAACGGCTCAGGAGTCAGGGACACTAGCTACTGTCGCAGAGGACCTGGGTTCCAGACCCAGTGCCCGTATGGTAGCTAGGTCTCATTTCTTAGTTTCGTTTTTTGAGACAGGGTTTCTCTGTATAATCCTGGCTATCCTGGAACTCACTCTGTAGACCAGGTTATCCTTAAACTCAGAGATCCTGAACACTGGGACTAAAGGCATGCACCACCACCCTTAACCTGTCTCAAGGTTTTCCTGCCTTCGTGGTGGTTCAAAGATGACTGACTGCAGGCGGTAGGGTAACTTAAGCCCAGAGGTCTGGGGCCAGCAGGGACCAGACTGAACAGGTTCAAAGACAAAACACTTGCCAAGAACTGAACACCCACTTTTAAAAGTGAACAAAAAGTCTTTCAGTTGGCCATGGTGGCACATGCCTATAATCCAGTGTGTGGAATGCTGAGGCAGGAGGACCAGGGGTTCAAGATCAGCCTCAGCTACCTGAAACCCTGCCTTAAAATTTAAAAGGACAAAAACTGGGTGTAGTAGTTCATGCTTTTAATCCCAATACTCAGAAGGCAGAGGCAGGTGGATCTGTGAGTTCAAGGCCAGGTCTATAAAGCAAGTTCCAGGACAGCCAGGGTTACACAAAGAAACCCTATCTTGAAAAACAAACAAAAAAAAATTTTTTTTGAAAAGTCAAAAGGAAAAATCCTTAAGCTAACATAGCACAGTGAATGGCAGAATTCTAAGCAATGTAGATAATCTGGGTTTTTTTTTCCTCACATTTCGGAAGCCATTGAACCTGGTTGCTGCCCATGAGCCTAGACCTTATCACAGCCTAAACTCAAACCCCAGACAGGAAGAGGAACACAGTTTTGACGACTTTAAAGTACCTGTGTGGGGTACCCAGCCCTGGCTGCACCAGAAGTCGGACCTCCTCCAGGCCACCTGGGCAATGATGTTGTGACCCTCTCTGTAATCTAACCATGAGCCTACCAAGAGCTTTCACACCAGTGACCCCAGTCCTCACACCTGTAGGCAGGGTGTAAGCTCTACTAACAAGATGAGTTAGTAACCAATGCAAGAGTCAGGGGCAGACCTGGACAGAGCCCAAGGGCATGCCTCCCAGACCACTGGCCCAGAGGTAGCCTGAGACCCGTCTCACAGACACGGAACCAGAGCCCAAAGTAGAGCAGAGCTCTTCAGGCACTGCGTTCTTGGTGTGACTCTAACTGAGCTTGTGAGTCTGTACAGAGTGGCCTAAGGTCCTAGTGACAGCTTAGTCATGGATACCAGAGTGCAGTGTTGGCTTTCTGTACTTGGCTTTTCCTGTCTCTCTGTTTCTCAAGACAGGACAGTCCATAGAGGGAGGGTTCCCTCTACAGACTCATGTTGCGAAATGTCAAGAGCAGAGGGACCTTAGACAGGGCCGGTCCATGCCTAAGAAGCCAAAATGGGGCCCGAGGTGCCTAACTTTTTGAGGGCCTACAGGAAGATGGAGCAGGAAGCTTCTCTCCAGCACACTCCAGGCCATAGAGGATAGGAAAGGAATCTTTATTGTATCGGCCTAAGGTCTCATGCTTCCCCATCTTCACGGGCTGTGGGGGTGGAGCGAGTGGGAGTGGGTGAGGCCCAGCTAGTCCTCTCCATCCCTGCTCCTGTCCAGGTGCCCCAGAATTAGGTCAACAACGCCTGGCGTAGCATCTGCTTCTTCTGGGGTGTGAGGCGGGTGGGGAATTGGATGTCAAAGAAAATGTAGAGATCCCCCTTCTTGGTAGGGTCCTCAGGCAGTGGCATACCCTCACCCGGCACCACCTTGAAGTACTTAGGGCTGAGAGAGGGAAGGATGAAAGAAAGGATCATAGGAGACTCAGAGTGTCCAGTGAGTCCGCACCCCCCCACCTCACAGGACCACAGGAATGGGCTGCTACCACAGCTTCCCAGTGCGTGGACAGGTCTCACAGACCAGAACAGGTGGGAGCAGAGACTGGCTTGTTCTGAACATCACACCCCAGGAATTGTGCAACATTCCCTAAGGAGCAGAGCAGACTCTGGGGGCGGAGTCAAACCTTCCCTCTCTGGGACCTTTCTAGGTAAAAGACTTGGGGGCTACTGCTGCACACTCTGATGAGACGTTTGGGGGACGGAGGCGAGAGAGTGGCCGACAATGGGGTTCCCCCGCCTCTACGGGGCTTCACACATATTAGAGAAAGGCATTCCTTTTGTAGGGTGAGCACAGCCCCCGGCTCAGCCAGAGGGGAGGGTGGGTTTGAGTTTCAGCCTGAGGGAGACCCTTCTGTGGGTGCAGCCTGCGCAGCTCCATGCTCCAAGTCTCAGCCCACCCTTTCTTGTGACTAGGCGGATGGACTCACTGGACGATGTCGTTGATGGGGATGTTGAGCAGACGGTCATCTAGGGTCTTCACCTCCACGGTGCAGCAGGTGAGAGCCTGGAGGAGTTTGGAACAAGAGGTGTGTGTGCAGAGTGTCACCACAGCCGTTCTATTTAGAAAGCATTCAGGAGCCTACTTGGGTTCCAACCCTGAGCTGGACACCAGGGAGGCAAAAGGCTGTTCAGGAGCTACTTGTGAGTGAGCTGTGACCTGCCTTCTAGTCTGAAGTGTGGCAGGCAGGTCAGATTGGTGATGCAGAGTGTAAGCTCCGTGGGAGGAAGGCCACAGAGCCGCTGAAGAGCCTCCGGAGTGAGGTGGGCAGGTATGAAAGTGCCCCAACCAGGCAGGTGTGCTCACCCTGAGGCCTGCAGTGCCAATAATGTGTCAACAGCAGTACCTTGACAAGTACCAGCTGGGTAAGTTGAGACAGTGGGGACAGCAGCAGGATCAGGACAGTGTGGAAGATGAGGAGGTGGGTGAGAAGGAATAGTTACACAGATCCACCCAGTGCCAAGGAGGGAGACGTGTGCTGTGGGTTCCTGTGACTTTCAGAAGTTGGCTGGGGAAGAAGAAGCCTAAGCTGTTGCAAGTGGGGTTCAGTCTGGGTCCCCATGCCTTCTTCTGCACCGTCCCCACTCACCTTGCCCAAAGGGATGGGGTACACGAAGAAGAGGTTGTCGAGCTCCCTGCGGAAGCGAGGGTGCAGCTTCTCCTTTACGATGAAGATGATATCAGCCGGGATAATGTTGGGGCCCTGGGCAGGGAAAGCCAAGGAGTAACAGCTTTATTGCTTTTATGACTTAGCCAAGTGTCTGCCTCTCCTTGCCTCCAGGTCTTCCCCTGCGCAATGGGGAATTACACCCACTTTTCTAGAGGAGGCATTCGGTGTGGCCTAGGACTACTCCCTAGAGAAGCCGACCCGGAGCACTCCCCACTCCCAGAGCACTTCTCTACTGAGGAGCACACCCAAAGTAAACGTCCTCAGTGGTATGGGGCAGGGACTTCCCTGTGTGACAGCTGGACACTGAGCTGAGGGCCAGACAGCTTCCCTGCCTGACAGTAGCTCAGCAGTGATTTCTCTGCTTCTGTGAGGCACCCTGACACCAACCTCTCTTCTGGCCACTGCAGACAGAAAGTGGGGCCAGCTGCAGCTCCCAGTGTGAGAATCAGCCCGACAGTGATTCCCCAGTAATCTCAAGGCCAGGATAAAGGGAGGCCCAGAGTCTGGGCTCTGAGGAGACCCTGGGCCTCGTGGGGAGGTTGGGAAACGCTGCCCGGAGCGGGAGATGTTGGCACTGGGTATCTGTTTGCTTGTATGATTGCTTATGGCAGGGTCTTGCTCTGGTAGCCCAGAATAGCCTGGGATTCACTATGTCACCAAAGTTGACATAATCACCAAGTCAAGGCTGAATTTGAACTCCTAGGCTCAAGTGATCCCCCTGCCGTAGCCTCCTGGGTAGCTTTGACTCCCAGTGAACCAAGTTGAAGGGTGATAGTTGGAAGCAGGTGTTTTACAGGTGAGAAAGAGGGCGGGTATGGCCAAGGGAATTCGTCTCTCTCGGCTCTGAGCTCTCCATCACTCCACTTCATCTCAGCACATAAGGACTCAGCATCCCTAGCACAATAATTTGATGGTTTCCACAAATAAGTGTTTTAATTTCAAATCATTATGAATGAAATGCTTCTGAGTGGCCTCTCTCCTTGGACTTTCTTGAGGATTACTACCCAAGAACACTGGAGGGGAGTGTGTGTGTGTGTGTGTGTGTGTGTGTGTGTGTGTGTGTGTGTGTGTGTACATACTCATGTATGTGCTGGGGGACCAGAAGCTCACACCGGTGTCTTCCTCAACTGCTGTCCATCGTGTTTTTTGACCCTATGTCCTGACCCTGGAGCGCACCAGTTCAGCTAGACTGGCTGGCCAGTAAACCGCGAGGAGACTCCGTCTCTCTTCCTTGCCAGCACTGGGACTACAGCAGTGCCTGCCCCACCACTGGTGCTGAGGATCAAGTCCAGGTCTCCATTCTTGAGTGGTAGGAACATGTCCCCATGCCCTTCTTTTAGTTTTTTGAGGATTTTTTTGTTTTGTTTTGTTTTTTGTTGTTGTTGTTTTGGTTTTGGTTTTGGCTTTTTGAGACAGGGTTTCTCTGTGTAGCCCTGGATGTCCTGGAACTCCCTCTGTAGCCCAGACTGGCCTCGAACTCACAGAGATCCACCTGCCTCTGCCTCCCAAGTGCTGGGATTAAAGACGTGTACCACCACCGCCGGTGCTTTTTGTGTTCTTACCTTGAGCAGGGCCCTTCCATCTTGGGGCCTCAGTTTTCCCACTGTGTAAAATGGTAATAATCCCAAGATGCATTCACAGAAGCATTTCGAGGCTCTGTCCTTGGGATGGGACTCTAGAGACCATCTCACTCTACTAGACCAGAGCTTTGTAGGTGTTGTATGGTATTTTGTTTGTACTCTGACAAGTAAAGCTTGCCTGGAGATCAGAGAAGCAGAGCAGCAGCCACTAGAAACTTCTTACTTCTATGAAATCTCAGACTGAATTGGGGCGGGAGGGGGGCCAAGATCTTGTCTCCACCGCCTTATATACCTGTCTCCACCTCCCTAGTGCTGGGATTAAAGACATGAGCCTCCCAAGTGCTGGGATCAAAGGTGTGAGCCACCACCACCTGGCTCTGTTTCTCTTTTAGACTGCTTCAATCTCGTGTAGCCCAGGGTGGCCTTGAACTCCTGATCTTCCTGCTTCCTCCTTCCAAGGGCTGGGATTAAAGGTGTGTGCCACCACGGCCTGGCCTCTATGGTAAGCTAATGGCTAGTTTGGCCCTCTGATCTCCAGGCAAGCTTTATTTGTCAGAACACAAACAAGATATCACACAACATATGGCGACAGGAAAAACCATAGTCTTCTTCCCTCTCAGCACCCCCAACTAGAACCTAAAGACTGACCTCAGCCAGCTTCTCTCCCTCTCACCTGGTCCCCTTCTTTTTCAAAGGTGATGCGTGTGCCCTGCCTCCACCCAGGCCTCACGTCGATTGTCAGGATCTTGTCTTTGATGGTGGAGGAATACTTGTCATCGTTTAGCACCTAGGGCAATAGGGGTGGGGGTGGGGAGCTGGCTCAGAGTAGGCTCTGTGGAGTCCGTGCTCCGATAGTACCCGTAGCAGTGAGGACGGACTGCCAGAGCCATTCCCATTGCCACTGGATCTGAGAGCTTGTGGCTCTTGAAGGCAAGGCATGTCCTCAGACTGTGGCCTGAGACACCAGTCACCAACAGGAACACAGTGAAAGGTGCCTCTCTCCAAATCCCAGAAGTCTGAACTAATCCCAAAGTCCTCCCTCCCCTCCCCCAGGCTCCACGGCCCCTCACTGTCTAGTACAAGACCGTTAGAGACCCAGACTTCAGTTTCTAGGAAGTTATTGGTTTCTCTGAAGAAAAGAGGAGGCCAGTCACAAGAGTGCAGCAGACCTCTCAGAAGGCAAGATATTGAACCTCACACAAAGCATGCCCCCATCATGTCCCCAATCCCATGAGCCCACAGTGCCGCCTTTGGAAAGCATGGCCACAATGGGCATCTCCCCCAGGCAAAGGGGAGGAAGAGGGCTGGACCACAGGTCGGGGTCAGGCCAAAGACTGAATGCTGCAGCAGCTACTTACAAGGGTCTTCCCTAAGCCGTCACCTTAGAGACTGTCCCAGCCCACCTCCCGGCCCGCCCTGGAGTGGCCATGCACACTCTCCTCAGGATGTGGTCTGAAATGAAATTCATAGACGACTGCACCCACATCTACTCCTCTGGACTGAAAAGGGAAGGATCCTGTCCCCGTTAGATGGCTGTAGAGGTGACTTCAGTACCAGAAAGAAGGGTGAATCCCCTCTGTTACTCATTTCAAATTTCAGATTCTAGAATTCTGAAATCTAAAATTGCTGAGTCTCTTGGTCTGAGAGCCGATGGTTCCATCAGAAAGGATCGCCAAGTTTCCTGGTGGGGGCGGGGAGGTGACAGGGAGGTTTGTAGGGTTAGGTGGTACCTTCGAAGAGGAGCAAGGTGAGTACTCACCCTTCGCGAGATCTTAATTTTTTTGGTACAGCCAAAGAATAAGTCCTCCAGGGACAAATAGAGGTCTCGTTCGATTGGAGGGTCTTGTTTCTGGACTCCTCGGCCCCGAAGCCCCCCAAAATTCAAATCTATATCATTTCCTTCTGCATCAAAAAATTCTAAAGGAGATAGGAAGATGAGTAACAGAAATGAAGTCCAAATGCCAGATCAGACAGATGACAGATGACAGACAGATAGACTGACAGGTACACACACATACATACACGCGCATGCACACACACACACACACACACACACACACACACACACACACACACACACACGTGTCCCTATCCCTGTATTCCCTTGAATCTCTTTACTGCCCCAGGAATAGGACTCAGCACATCATATTCCCACCCCTCAGTGCCACACCAAGGGCTTGTTTCGTTTCATTTTGGTTTTAGCCTTGAACTCAAGGCAATCCTCCTGCCCCAGTCTCTTGCATGCTGGGATGACAGGTGTGAGCCACCACACTTGGCTTCAAGAAGCTACCCTTAGCTACAGACCAGTGAGCATCAGGCTTGCAGGCCCCAGTGCTCCCTGGGACTCTGACAGAGCAAGGTGCTGCTGGCAGTTCCTGCCGAGTGAACAGAGGCATCGCTCTAAGTGGGAGATCCTGGTAGTGCAGAGAAGATTCCATTCAGGCAGATTGGGTCAGAACTGCCTGTCCACTTCACCCTTCCCCAGGCCCTACTGGCCCCTCTCTGTTCACTCCCATGACGGCTCTAGGCAAACCAGACTCAAGCTGTCTGGAGTTACTAGCTGATAGGAAGAAGGACTTGGTGGTCCACGGCAACTGTGAGTGGTCACCAGCATGCCTCAAGCTCCTTCCCTCAACCTCGCCTACCCTGCCTGCCCTCCATCCAAAAGCCTGCCTGATGCCCTTGCCTTTAGCCCGATTGCAGTGAGAGACAGATACCCTTCCCAATCTGCTTGGAGAACTGTAATCCTTTGGAACTCAGTTTTTCAGTCTCTTTTCGGGGTAAGGGGTAACGCTTGCCCTGCCTATACCATTAAGATGAGCAACAGCTAAACCTTGAGAGAGTGTAGCCGGAGGCTTCTGTGTCCTGCGTGGTTTGCTGGTGGGACAGAAACTTCTGTTTACAGGAGAGTCCGCTGTGAATCGGGCTCTGCAAAATGCTCTTGGCTCCACAGCTAGTGAGTAATGAAAATGGGACCTATACCACAGGACCACTTGGCCACAGAACCTGTGGCCTTGGTCACTATGATATATTGCTAGATGTGGGGCCCTTTGTAGACTGTGGAGTGAGAGGCCCTTTGAACTCTGTAGTCAGAGCTGGATGTTACGTACCCTGTCCCTCATGGTTAATACCACAGAATGAATACGTCAAGCTAGATGGCGAATCGACCATCAACAGTAGGGAATGTGCAGTAGCTGGGGCTATGATGGCTGGGGCTATGATGGCTGGGGCTATGATGGCTGGGGCTATGATGGCTGGGAGCCAGTGGCATGGCTGTCACCTAAAGGCACTTGTCACCAGTGCCCGAGGCGGAAGAAGACAACTGACGCCTGAGGGTGGTCCTCTGATTTACACACTGTAAATACATGTAGTAAAAGTTCGGTTTTAAAAAGGACCAAGGAGGTAGTTCCACGATAAAGTCTTAGCCTAGGGCAGTGGCTCATAACCTTCCTAATGCTGTGACCCTTTGATAGAGTTCTTCACGTTGTACTCACAACCATTAGATTATTTTCGTTGTTACTCTGTAGCTCTAACTTTGCTACTGTTATGAATTGTAATGTAAATATTTTTAGAGATAGAGGTTTGTCAAAGGGGTCATGGCCCACGGGTTGAGAATCACTGCCCTGACTACACAAGGCCCTGATTTCAATCCTCAGCACCACAGACTATTTTTAAAGGCAGAGAAGAGCTCCAGAAGGGCATGAAGGATGTTAACAGCGAGCAGCTGCATCAGGGAGAGGAAAGGACACGGAGGGTTAGAATATCCTCAGGAAGCTCTGCTTGAATTTTGGTGTGGTGGTTTACATGTGTGATCCCAGCAGTGGGGAGACTGGAGAATTTGAGGTCAGCCTGGGCTACAGAGAGAGATCCTGCCTCGGATAAATAAATAAACAATCTTTTTTCCTTCCCTGTCCTGTGCTTATTTCTCAAAGAGACAAAACCAGGCTGGATGTGGTGAGTCACACCTGTAATCCTAGCACTCGGGTGGCTAAACCAGGATTGCCATGGATTCAAGCAAGGCCAGCTCGACTACAAAATGAATCTGGAGCTACCTGCTCTACAGAACGAGCTCAAACCCAGGAGGCTGCAGAGATGGCTCAGCAGTTAAGAGCACTGTTGCTCTAGCAGAGAATCCAGATTCAGCTCCCAGTACCCACATGGTGACTTACAGCCACCCCTAATTCCAGTTCCAGGGGATCAAATGCCTTATTCTGACCTCCTCGGGCACCAAGCACACACGTGTGCACATTCCTATAGGCAAAACTGTCACACATAAAATAAACAAATCTGAAATTTAAAAAAAAAAAAAAGCAAATCGGGCATGGTGGCACATGCCTATAATCCCAGCACTTGGGAGGCAGGAGATCAGGAGTTTAATGTCACTCTTGGCTAAACATCGACTCCAAGGCTGGCCTGGGATACATGTTTCAGTAATAATAATAACAACAACAACAACAACAATAATAATAATGCAAACAAAATAAATAAAAAGCAACCAACATAACCACCAAGAAAGGTATTTTCTGCAGCTTTGTCCTTTCCCAGTGAGGCAAGGAGTAGGGTGGAATTCTTACCACTGAAGGGGTTGTCTCCCCCAAAGAACTCGTTGAACACTTTTTCAGGGTTGCCATGGAAGACATAGCCCGTTGTCCATGGAGTCTGGGATCCAAATTCCAGAGGGATCCCGCCCTTCAGGCCTTCCTCACCAAACTTGTCATAGATGCCTCTCTTCACAGCTGTGGACACATGTGACCTTGAGGAGGGATCCAGGGCACGTGTGACTGGAGCGGCAGGGAGACAGTGGGAGGGCTGGGGAAGGTGGTGGGCAAGGGACAGCCTTATCTCCTGCAGCCTGCTGCCTGCAAGTGTCTGGAAGTTAGAGCGTCAGTGTCGCTCTGTGTGGGTTTAGAGTCGTCCATCCATCCTACAGAGTCTGTAGGGTGGCCAGACAGCCCAGAAAAGCAATGAGAAAAAATTGCCTGAATTGGGTCTTGGAGAAGAACTGGGAGAATGAAGGTCAGCTAGGTTTGGCCCAGCTCAGTCTTGAGAGGGAGACTAGAATTCTAAAACCTTAAAATTTTAGAATCTAAGAATTCTGAACTTGCAAATTTTAGAGTCCTGAAAAGTCAGGGCTTGAGAAGTCATAGTCTAGCTGTTGTGAATGGTAGCCACGCTCACAGTCCCCAAGCCAGCCCCCAGAGAAGCCGGCCGGGCCCCCAAGACCAGCCCCCAGAGAAGCCGGCCGGGCCCCCAAGACCAGCCCCCAGAGAAGCCGGCCGGGCCCCCAAGACCAGCCCCTAGAGAAGCCGGCCGGGCCCCCAAGACCAGCCCCTAGAGAAGCCGGCCGGGCCCCCAAGACCAGCCCCTAGAGAAGCCGGCCGGGCCCCCAAGACCAGCCCCTAGAGAAGCCGGCTGTTCTTCGCTGTGTGGTGAGTCACTCTCGCCCCACACAACTGATATCCAAAGAGAGAGATTTCCTAAGGGCTCTAAGCCTCTCTGAGACTTTCTGCTCTCACTGTCCCTGGAGGCCCCTGGGCAGGAAAAATGAGAATGCCTGCTCCTCCTCAGCCCTCTGCCCGGCAGCCAGCAAACTCCTCAGAACCTCAGGGGGGCTCCTCTCTGCGGGCTGGAGGCACTGCCTCAGCTGGGTGAGCGATCAGCCCCTCCCCCTGACGGCCTGGTTTGCTCTGTTTGTCCAGATGCTGGGCAGGGAGGATGGTTGCTTACTCTGGACTGTTCTCTGCAGAAAACCTGATGGCCTAGAAACCTGAGGAATGGTCTTACTGGAGGGGTGGGGGACAGACAGCCCCACCATCACTCACGGTCGCTCAGGACATCATAGGCTTCTGCTATCTGCTTGAATGTCTCTGGTGCAGACGGCTCGTTTGACTTCAACGGGTGGTTCTTCAGGGCAAGTTTCCGGTACCTAGAGGAGGGAGGTGAGGCAAGCCCTTGCCTCCGACCTGCTTCGGAGGGCCGGAGCATGGCTCAGGGCGGACTTTGGCTATCTAGCTTTGTTATGAACCGTGGAGAGGGGCACAGATGCCAGCAGCTGTGAGGTGTGCTGCTCAGATCTTTTGGAAGAGAACTTGGGGCAAGAGCACAATTGACCAGCAGCCCTGACAGCGGCTGCCTAGACATCTGAGCTAATGCGGCGGAGACTTGGTGATGGTCCACCTGTGAGACACAGGGCGGCCGGCCCCCCATTAGCTTTTTGTCACTGTGACAGAGTACTGGAGAAAAGGGACTTAGAAAGAGGAAACACTTCTTTTGGCTAACAGTTCTCATCCATGGTCGGCTGGTACTGCTGCTTCCTGGCTGAGCGTCATGGCAGGAGCAAAGCTGCTCACCTGCATGGCAGCCAGGAAGGAGAGCCAGAAAGAGAAGCGGTGGGGGAGGAAAGGGAGAGGAGAGGAGAGAGGGAGAGGAGAGGAGAGAGGGGGAGGGGGCGGAGGAAATGGGGACGGGAGAGGGGAGGGAAAGAGAGAAACAGGAGGGAGAGGGAAGGGAAGGGGAACAGAGAGCGGGAGTCTGGGGACAAGACATCAAAGGCTGACCTCCAGAGAGCCGCCTCTTCTTGTGAGAGCCTATTCCAATATGAAGGGATTAATCCATTAATTAATTAATTAATGATGAAGTTTATACCATCACAAGCCAGTTGTTTCCCAGAAGCACAACCTGCTAGGAGGCAAGCCTTTCACATAGGAGCCTTTAAAGGGGTGGATTCTTCTTGTTCAAACCACAATAGCCTCTATCGACTTGGCTGGAAGATTCCCCCACAGGCCACACTTAGCTCCCTCTACCTAACACCGCCTTCCCTTTCTTTTCAATGAAGTCTGCAGTCTCTCTCTGCTTCTTCCCAGAACAGGTTCCTGCCATACACTATTGACATTTCATTCTATCTTGGTGTCTACTTCACAGAGGACCAGGACCAACACAGGCTTCTCAGGTGGATGACAAGCCCTCAGGTCCCACTGGGACTCTCTTCCACCCCTGTGCTCAGTCTTGCCCCACTTACTCTCTGCCATCCCACCACTCAGTCCCGGGACGCCTGCAACATAGCATCAAGAGAAGAGATGGGGTAGATGACCTGTGGAGAGTTTAGCAAAGGGATCATTCACCAGGATGCGGCCAGGAGACCATCCATCACAAAGACATCCTGGGGTATGCTGACCATCCATACTTCTAGGCATGACAGCAGGGAGCTGGACTGAATCTTGAAGGCTGTGGACATGGCCTGGCAGGAGCCGAGGCTGTCATTTCAGAGATGTGAGCAGCATGGGGAGAGCCCGTAGGAAGGGAGCAGTGATGTAAGGACGCCCTCTCCTTCTCTAACCTCTTGCTTCGCTCCCCTTCAGAAGGAGGTGCAGGGGAGGCGTGTGGGCAAGGAAGCCTGCTGCTGCAGGGAGGGCAGAAAGAAACCCTCGAGCCCGGATGCCCAAGTCACTCAGTCCCAGTTTGAGCCCACACAGCCCCTGCGGGATCTGATCAGGGCTCCTGTCCCTGCCCAGCCCTCCCACACAGGCGCCTGGAGTTCCATGGCATCTCTCCTCATTTCACAGTCTGCAGGCGGAGCTCACCTCTCACACAGCTGATGCCCATCTCCTACCAGGCCGCTTCCCTGAGCTGCAGACACTTGGGTGCCACTGTGTTTCACTGTCTTCTCCCAGATAATGCAAGCATGCCAGATGCACAGCCCAAACAGGACCCTCAGTTCTCCCCAGGTGCCACAGCTGGAAATCTAAGCACAGTCTTGGACTCCCATTAGTCACCGAATCTCATCAGTTTCTCTCCTTAAACGCTCTGCCCTGCCTCTCCTTCCTGCAGCTGGGGCAGAACCATGTCTCCCTGTAACCACAAGAACCCTCTCCAGTTCTACCCTATCGCACGCTGCAAATGGGTTTCTCCTTCTATCCCTCCCCCGACTTCCTCCTTCCTTCCTTCCTTTTCTTCTTCCCTCCTTCCTCTCTCTTCTCTCCCTTTTCTTTCTCTCCTAAAATGCTCTGACATCACTCTCCTAGTGAATCTCTTCACTTCCCTGTTGCCTTCAGCAGACAATCTAAGACAAGCTAAGATTCAAGGCCCTACTTTTTCTCTGCAATAACATCTCTTTGCTCATCAGCTGTCTTGAATGGGAGAGAAAGGATGAAGTCATGGTTCAACATGTATGGCATGATGCCAGGTGTGGTGGTACATGCCTGGGAGGCAGAGGCAGGCAGATCTCAGTGAGCCTGAGGCCAGTCTGTTCTTCATAGCAAGCTCCAGGCTAGCCAGGGCTATGTAGACCCTGTCTCAAAAACAGACAAATAGCAGGGCAATGGTGGCACACTCCTTTAATCCCAGCACTCGGGAGGCAGAGGCAGGCAGATCTCTGTGAGTTCGAGGCCAGCCTGGTCTACAGAGTTCCAGGATCGCCAAGGCTACACAGAAAAGCCCTGTCTTGAAAACAAACTAACGAATGGTGTGTGTGTGTGTGTGTGTGTGTGTGTGTGTGTGTGTGATGCAAATGTCATCATGAAACAGGGGATTCATCACATGGATATATGCTAATAAAAGAGTAAATGAGTAATCCTGAAGAAGTTGATAACTCGATGATCAGTAATCAGCAGGGAGACTTTATTATAAAGGCTGAGTATTTTGTGAGTGTGTGTATGCCTGTATGTGTATAACTTTAGTTTCCCACCTTTTTTTTTCTTTTGAGACAGAGTCTCTCCCTGTCCTGGGGCTCACAAGTTCTACTACAGCAGCTGGTCCTCAAGTGCCAGGGACCTGCCTGTCTCATGACACGGTGTAGCTGAAGCCTTGAAAGCTTTTACAGTGGAAGGGTCTGGGCTGTCATTAGACCATGCAATCCCTCTCATTGCTCTTACCTCACACGCTTCCATCTACCAGTGATTTCTGGACATTTTCATATACATTGTCTCATCTGATCCCATTTTAATACTGAAACAACTCCTGCCCTTTAAAAAAAAAATGTGTGTTCTGTGTATGTGTGTGACTGTACAGGTACACATGTGTGTGGAGACCAGAGGACGACCTCTCCTGTTGGTCCTCTGTCCACCTCAGTTATTAACACAGTCTCCCGCTGACCTGGGACTCTCCAGGCTGACTGTCCAGGAAGCCGCAGGAATTCACCACTGTCCCCTCCTGCCCAGAGTCGGGGTTACAAGCGAAACACAGCTTCTTCCATGTGCTTCTAGGTCCTCCTGCTCATACAGTGAACACTTTACCAACTGGACTGTCTCCCTGTCTCCCTGGTCTGTCTCCTCCTCCACGTTTGTTTGTTTGTTTGTTTGTTTGTTTGTTTGTTTGTTTGTTTTTAAAGATTAGAAGCTCAGGTTCAGGAAGGTTGATTTGCCTGAGTGTGCTGTGCTTAGTGTCTCGGGTTTCTAGTGCTGTGCCGAAACACCATGACCTAAAGCAGCTTGGGAAGGAGAGGGCTTGTTGTATCTTACTCTTCTACAATCAAATCAAATCTTCCATCATCAAAGGAAGTCAGAGCAGGAACTCAAGAGGGAACCTGGAGGCAGGAGCTGATGCAGAGGCCATGGAGGGGTGCTGCTTACTGGCTTGCCCTTCATGGCTTGCTCAGCCTGCTTTCTTATAGCACCCAGGGCCACCAACCCAGGAGTGGCACCACCCAAAACGGACTGGGCCTTCCCATATCAATCACTGATTAAGAAAATGCACCTTGGTGGGGACATTTGAGAGTCCCTCTTCCCCAGTGACTCTAGCTTGTGTTAAGTTGACATAAAACTAGCCAGCGCAGTTGGTCCTGCAGTAACTAAGCTGTGCTTCTCTGTTTGCCACGGTAATCATTCCTTTGATGAGTCCCACTGGCTGCTTGCTTTCTCTCCTGGCAACCTTCCACTTGATAAATCACTAGCCAGTGAAAGCCCTGAGCAGAGGGTGACATCATCCACTGTATCGAATTGTTCTCAATTGTTTACTGAGTTTATCTTCTTTCTCTATCCCCACTGGACACTCCAGTCCACACAAGACCCTGGCCCACGCAGGCAGGGATGGTGTCTGATTTCTGACTCCATTTGTCACATACAAGCTCCTGGGATGACAATGGCATTTACCTCTCAGGGTCACTTGAGGATTAAGTAAAAACAATGGTAGGAAGCTCTCAGAACAGCACCCCCTTGTTCAACACACGCAGCGAGTGTACCCCCAAACCTTGAGTTGCCTCGGGTGCTTCCTTTTTATTTCATACCTTTGATGACACAATTAACTGTCAAGTTCAGCCTTTCCTCTCCCCCTCCAGCCCACCGCAGAGCCTGAATCCTCCTTCAAGGCTTGTCTTTTGGCTTAATTATCGGGATAGCCTCCCAAGGAACTTCCTGACTCTCAACATAGCACCAGATATTTCCTTTATAACAATCCATGCTCCATGACAATGGCCTGCACTGTGCACAACCCAAGAGATGAAGGTTCCATAAATTCTTGCCCAAAACTTTTTTTCAGATATACAGCCTGATTTCTGTCCTAGATGTCCCCCGCCCCAACCACACTTACTCACTCCTTTGCTTTTTTGAACAGAGCCTTGCTGTGCAGCTCACACAGCCCAGGCTGACCACGGACTATTTGGGGATTATGGGCAGGTACCATCACACTCCTATCTAGACTGTCACAAAGTCCCTGAGACTTGACAGAGGTATTCAGAGATGAGTATCAGCCAGTGACAAAAACCCATATGATGACCAGAATGGAAACTGTAACATCCACTTGTCCAGGTCATTTCTGGGTCACGGTCCTGGGACCTCCATGAGACTCAGGGGAAGGTCTGAATTGTCCTTTGTCCTCCTTTCATAGCCAGAAATTCAGACATGTCCCAAAAGGAGATAAGGGGCAGGGGGATTGGGCATGGGGAGCCCGCTGGTGCACTGAGGGTGTGTCTGCATTTCCAGTCTGTGCCCTGACCAGCCCAGAGCCAGGATAAGGTATGCAAGAGGAAAGAGGTGCCCCTTTGCTGCCCCAAACTGCACAGGGAAGCAGTTTGGCGGGCATCAGGGTGGGACTGCCTCAGCAGGAGCCAGGCTCCGACTCCACCCACTTACGCCTTCTTGATCTGGGCATCCTCTGAGTTTCGAGTGACCTGGAGCACAGCATAGTAATCCAGCCCCATGGCTGGTAGCAGTGGATCAGTTTTTCCTCAGACTTCAGCCTCTGTTAGTCTGCATTCTGTGGTTGCCAGGAGCAACCACAAGGGGCACTCTGGGAATTGTAGTCTTTCTATCTTGAACAAATGGCTCTGGTGTGCCCATAGCTGGTTCTGTGACCCGATTAAGGCCACACAGCCCAGAAACAGGAGTCCCTGAGCATTTTCATTAATTTATTTATTTTAGTACAGCAACTACCTTGAATTTAAAATTTTCAGAACAAAGCCAGGTGTTGTGGTACAATACCCTTAATCCCAGCACTCAGCAGAGGAATTGGATCTCTGTGAACTGGAGGCTAGCCTGAACTACATAGTGAATTCATTGTGAGCCTGAGGTCGTTCAGAGATTCACCAGTCTGACTCAAGTTTTAGTTTTAGTAAATTAGAGGCTTTTTATTAAAAAGAGACTGGCCAAGACCAAACCAGAGAATTCTCTAAGTAAGGTCCTAGCTATAGTTAGCCAAAGAATTATAAAGGCAAACACCACAAAGTTGCTATCTTGGAACTTGCTCGGTCAACCAGGCTGGCCTTGAACTCATGGAGATCTGCCTGCCACACTGCCCAGCTAGGGCTTGATTTTATAACAGGCGTCCAGCAGGTGACTCAGCCACCCAAGCAAGTGCTTCATACAAAAGCAGAACTTAGCTTATTTAATTTTGTGACCCATTACCTTGTAGGAACAGCTGAAGCAGTGAAATACTTTATAACAGTCAGCAGTTTTCTAAGAATAGCCCAGTTGCACCAGGAAGTGGTCCATTTCCAGCCTCCTGACAGATAACATTCAAGACAGGAGCAACTTCCTCACGGAGTATACACGTTAAAAACATTTTGTTTTCCTAAGCCTAGCACAAGTAAATGTATGCTCTAAACCTAATGTTCACCATCACAAGTTCCAGAACAGCTAGAGCTAAATAGTGAGACTTGTCTTTAAAAACAGTGTTTTATTTGGGGTTTTTGTTTTGTTTTGTTTTTTTATGATGGCTTACATCGATGATCCAAGCACTTTGGAGGCTGAGGCGAGAGGACTTCCCTGAGTTTGAGGCCAGCCTAGGCTACACAGGGAGGGTGAAGCGAGCTTTGGCTGTGGAGTAAGTTCTTTTTTCTAAAAACAACTTTATTTGGCTGATTTTTTAAAATTGCAGAATAGTTTTATATTTTCAGAAAAACAAGGAAGCTTAGAAAGTTCTCATATTCCCTGCACACAGTGTCTATTAATATCTTACGTTAGAACGGTACATTTTCTGGGGCCTAGAAAGATATTGCAGTAGTTAAGAGCCAGACCTGAGCTCGGTTCCCAGCACCCGCATTGGGCAGCCCGTAACAGCTGGTAACTCCAGCTCCAGGGGATCCGACCCCTTCTTCTGTCTTCCCTGGTCAACCGTACTCACCTGCACATAGCCACACACAGAACCCCATCTCACTTGTTTGAGGCAGGGTCTCTCACTGAACCTGGAGGTCACAGATTGCCTAGATTGGCTGGCCAGCAAGTCTCCCAAATCCTCCTGTCTCCACCTTCCGGCAATGAGCTTCCAGGCACACACTGACCTGCTTAGCTTTTTACATGGTGCTGGGGATCTGAACTCAGTACCTCATGCTTATGGGGCAAGCACTTTACTCTGGAACCATCTCTCCAGTCCCATTTCTAAAAATGTTCTTACATTTACTTTGAAGTACATGCATGAGTGCACTTGTGTGTGGGGGCGGGGATGTCGTGCATATGTGGGTATACAAAGTACAGAGACTGGTCCTCTCTGTCTGTCATGTGGGCTCTAAGGATCACCCCATGTCACCAAGCGTGACAGCACGTTCCCTTACTCACTGAGCCATCTTGATGAAATCACTCCCCACTTTTTTATGGTCTCACTGGAACTTAATATGAGATCAGGGTGGTTTTAAACTTGCTTCCACCCTCGATCCCTGTGTCCCAGCCACTGGGATTACAGGTGCACGTCACCTTTTGAATGATTCTTGTAAAATGGTCTGCAGGATTGAAACCATTTAAAAATAATAGACACGCACAAAAAGACATGTTCCCCAAAGAAGCCTTTATCTGTGGTGAAGATTTCGGTATGGAGTGAAAGGCAATACAGGAGGCACTTCTCACCAGAAGTCACAAGGGGGCGCTGGAAAGCCGAGAAACAGGTCTTCGCAGCCGACTTTCACAATGGACAAAAGGACAGAGAACCAGGGACCTGTCCCAACCAGGACATCAACTCCGGAGACCTTATGGAAAGCAGAGTGGTGCGGGGACTGGAGAGAAGACTCGGTGGTGAAGAGCACTTGCTGTTGTTGCCGAGGACCTGAGTTTGATTCCCATCCCTACTGTCTTAGGGCTTTACTGCTGTGAAGAGACACCATGACCACGGCAACTCTTGTAAAGGAAAACATTTAACTGGGCTGGCTTACAGTTCAGAGGTTTAGTCCACTATCGTCATGGTGGGGAGCATGGCGGCATGCAGGCAGAGATAGTGCTGGGGAGGAGCTGAGAGCTCTACATCTGGATCTGCAGGCAGCAGGAAGAGACAGTGAACCACTAGGCCTCACTTAAGCTTCTAAAACCTCAAATCCCACCCCTAGTGACACACTTCCTCCAACAAGGCCACACCTACTCCAACAAGGCTACACCTCCTAATAGTGCCACTCCCTATGGTCCTATAGGGGCCATTTTCATTCAAACCACCACACCTACATTAGCCAGCTCACTCCAGTTCCAAGGGAATCCCATGCCTCTGGCCTCCACGGGCACCTACACTCACTCACATACCACAAACATATTTCAAATAATTCTTTTTTAAAAAGCGTGTGTAGCCAGTCAGTGGTGGCTCACACCTTTTATCCTAGCACTTGGGAGGCAAAGACAGGCGGATCTCTGTGAGTTTGAGCCCAACCTAGTCTACAGAGCTAGTTCTAGGACAGCCAAGGCTACACAGAGAAACTCTGTCTCAAAAATAAATAAATAAATAAATAAAAGTGTGTGTGTGTGTGTGTGTGTGTGTGTGTGTGTGTGTGTGTGTGTGGTGTGATGGCCGTGTGGGATCCTAAGCCCTAGAACAGGAACTCAGGGACAGTCACTTGCTGTACGGATTAAGCCAATGACACCCTCCTCTTGCTTCCCGTCTTGTTTCTAATTCAATAACATATTTAAATTAATACCTTAAAGTTGGCAGTGAAATCTCAGATTGAGTAGCATTTTACACCTAGTAGTTTTTTGCTTGTTTGTCTGTATGTTTTGTTTTTTTAAAAAAAAAAAAAACAAATGCCAGTATGGCCAAATGTGAATTCATTTTGTTTTTGTACCAATAAGTAAATATTTATAGTGTTCAAAAGGTGTCAAAGTTACTTGGCATTATTTTGTTTTAAAAAGAAAATATGGAGCTGGGTGGTGTTGTTGCATGCCTTTAATCCCAGCACTCAGGAGGCAGAGCTAGGCAGATCTCTGTGAGTTCGAGGCCAGCCTGGGCTACAGAGTGAGTTCCAGGAAAGGCTCCAAAGCTTTGCAGAGAAACCCTGTCTCAAAAAAACAAACAAACAAAAAGAAAATATGGAAGCTGGAGAAATAGAGGAAATAGAGATGGCTCGGGGTTTAAGTGCTTGCCCTGAGGAGCCTGTCCCAATGAATAAGGTAGAAGGACCAATGGCATGTCCCCTCACCCTTGGTCAGGGTTAGTATTCTTTACTGATACTCCTCTTTCTAAGGGATCAGAGGTCTGGACGTGATAACGTCACCCCAGACTGTCTGAACAGCACATGCAAATCTGATTCTTCCCTGTGGCAACCTGGAACAAGAATCCACAGCTCAAAGGAATTTAGTATTCTTTCAGCACAAAGAGTGGGACCCAGGGTCGGCTCACTGGTTGAGAGCACTTGCTATTTTGCAGAGGGCCGTGGTGGGCAGCTCACAAATGCCTGTCATTTCAGCTCCAGGGGATCCAGTGCCCTCTTCTGGCCTCTTTAGGCACCCACACAGGTGGCATACAGGCACACAAATAAAAATAAATCTTTTTTTTTTTTTTTTTTTTTTTTTTTTGGTTTTTCGAGACAGGGTTTCTCTGTGTAGCTTTGCGCCTTTCCTGGGACTCACTTGGTAGCCCAGGCTGGCCTCGAACTCACAGAGATCCGCCTGGCTCTGCCTCCCGAGTGCTGGGACTAAAGGCGTGCCCCACCACCGCCCGGCATAAAAATAAATCTTAAACAAAAACAAAAGCAATTTCTAAAGTAGAACCCTGCTATTAACCTTCATTAATCCAAGGGAGTCTGAGGGGAAAAGAGTTATTTAACGGGTCTTACATCCAAGCTGACCTCAAACTCACTCTGTAGCTAAGGAGGACTTGAACTTCCAGACTTCTTGCCTCCATCTCCAGAGTGCTGGGAATACAGTTGTCACCACCATCCCAAGCCCGAGTCTGAGAAATGTATTGCCCACAAGAGTAAGAGAGGGCCATCATGAATACGTGTTTGTAGCACCTCTGACCAGGATCAATGGTGCACTTCCAGAAGAAAACAGAGGAACTATCACAAGTGGAATGAAGCCCCGTTAGCCGTGTTCATGGCTCAGTGCAGAGTCAGCTCCTGGGGGGCGGGGGCACACACATCCTTCAGTAGGCTTTGTCTCTCTGAATCTCTAAGTTGTATGCATAAAGTTCTGACTCTATGCCTTTTCCTCTGAGGAGCATTTTATTACTTTCTCAGTGAAAAGTAGGAACCACTAATACCATAGAAACAGCATGCATTTTGGAAATAGTACAATCTAATTTTTACTGTCATAGAGCAGTATTTTTACCTACAGTGACTTCCTTGGTCCTTTGGTCCTGGCATCCTCCTTTGTAAAACTGAAATGATGTGTTAGTTCAATAAGACTTGGACTATGTCATTGAGCTTAAAGGGGACAGCTACACCCTATATGCAGGAATAGATACAGAACATTACGCAGAAATTATAAAATACATCTATGTGCATTCGCCTGGGGAAAACTCCAAGATAAACCAGGGGATGATAAATATAGAATGAACCCAATTG